GTGAATTTTGCGAGACAAAAATGGCAACCCATTTGAAAATAGGCAAGCTTTTGAACCAGGAGTCACAGGGGAGTTTTTTGTATTGATGTTGAACAAAAACTTCACTTTTTGAGATTTATGGGGAATCTTAACGACCTAAAAATCAGGAATCCTAACAACAGAGTTTTTAAAGCAAATGGTCCAAAAGTCGATTTCGCGAGACAGGTGGACAAAACATTTATCTTTTCTTAAATCTTTATTATGTGTTAAAAATCAACCTTACCCATTAAATTTTTTTTTAATGTTTTGAAATCAAGTTAATTTTATATTGGCTCTGTTTACTTCATATATCACCTGGAAGCATACTTCATAAACATATATGACCTTGAAATGAATCAACTTGGTTTTAAAGGCACCTGCAGGTCAACAAAGTCACTGATATATTAAATTTGATTCATTCTCATATTGGGAAACTCAAAAAATTGATGATGACTATATTTTTATTAAGATAACAAAAAACTGTATAAGAATTATAAATTTTAGCGGCAGAAAGATCATAATTATAATATCCTGTTTTGAGAATATATGTTATATTAAAAAATGTCTTTGAAAGAGAAGTTTATTTAAATATCCAAAATAAAAATTACAGACAAGCAAATAGTAGATTTGGCTTAGATCACACAAATTACATATAGAAATTGGTTGTCATTTCAAGCCTAGGCCAAGTGGATGAATGTTTGTGATATGTATGGTATTTTAGAAGAGGAACAACACTTTCTTATGATTTGAGAGGAAGGTTGAGGAAAATACAACAAAAAGAAAACTTCTGTTTGACACCCTTACATTATTTAATCTTGTAGCTAGGCAGTTCTGACTTTATTTTTAAACAGCTGATATCGCATAAAAATTCTTATGTAATTTTACATCTTGCAAAGTTTATTTATTTATCATTCATTCAAAAAACTGGATTAATAGTGTGACAATGATATATCACACTGATATTTTTAAATTATGTCATCACTGTTCCACAGCTGGTCTTCAAAACTAGACTTTCAATACCATTATATTTTTTAAGATGTTTTAGACCCCTTGTTGAATAATCTTTCCATGCAATAAAAATCAGAAAAAGGAGATCCTCTTTTGAGTAAATAGGTTCAATATTTTGAAAAAAATGTTGACATGGGGTTACTATTCATAATTTTTCGAATTGTTTGATTGATATTTTTATCATCATGGTTACTTCACTTGAAAGAAAACATATTGTTTTAATAAATACCACAGTATTTATGCCCAGAAAGTACACATGGTGAAAGATATGACTGTCTAAAATCACTTGCCATACTTCATGTGGTCTTTTCTGAACATATGGAACAGCTTTAAGAAGTATTGAATGCTTACCTATATGCTTCTTGCGTCATATCAGTGCATGTCCTGTGTTGCCTTGCTCCACAGTTGGTACATGTGAAGAACTCCTGTCTGTCACGTACATTTTTACTGCAAAGGACGCACGGGTGACTTGATGGTTGCCTTCGTGGCATTGTTCTACTGTCCTTGGATGAAGATGTAATCCACAATTATGTATATTTTATTTGTTGACTTCTCTGTTATATCCTTGTTGATAGCTTGTTGTATACTGATGACACAGTTGGAATTGTAGGCTGTATTTATACCCAAACCTCTGACACTTGTGCTACTCAAGTTGCTCAAATGCCTGCCAGTGTCATAGCAATTACTCAAATGCCATACTCAAATGCCTGCCACAGTAATTCCTTCCTCCAATATGTCATAGAATTAATCCTTGCTCAAATACGGTACTATGCCTGCCACAGTAAACCCTCATTCAAATATAGTAAAAAATTACTCAAATGCCTTCCAAAGTAAATCTTTGCTCAAATATGACATTGAATTCCTGGAATTAAATTACTCAAATGCCTGCCACGGTAAATCCTTGCTCAAATATAGTATAGAATTGCTTAAATGTCTACCAAAGTAAATCTCTGCTCAAATATGTCATAGAAATACTCAAATGCCTGCCACCGTTAATTCCAGGAGCAAATCCTCGCTCACAAATAAACTAAATTACATAACATAACCTAAATTACAGCTAATTAATTAAATGATCATCAGGAAATCAGCAACTGAAAATCTTATACAATTATAATTAATTTCACATCTAATATCTAATTGTTTACCATAAAACTAATGCTTTTATATCATTATAAATACATTTGTACACACATCAAACACATGTTACCTACAAGAAGAAAAAACAATTGGATTAATTTTCTAAATCTAAAAAATAATATTGAATCAGTTTGTTGCTTTTTAATAATGCAATTGATAACAAGGGAAGGGATTATCTAGGCAATTAGAGACTAGCATCTTTAATCAGTGCTAAGTGCAAACTTTTTTTTTAACTTATTTGTACCAATATTGTTGTGGTTTTATGCACTATGACCTTTTCCAGTCAATGTTACTTGGAAAAGAAATCAGTATACATTTACTCGTGTAAATTCAGTCAAAATTCACTAATAACCCAACCCATCACATTGTACCATACACAGACTGTATATGGGGGTGAAATGTCTAGGGGGTGAAATGTCTAGGGGGTGAAACGTCTAAGGGGTGAAACGTCTAAGGGTGAAACGTCTAAGGGATGAAAAGTCTAGGGGTGAAATGTCTAGGGGGTGATACGTCCAGGGGGTGAAACGTCCAGGGGGTGAAACGTCTAGGGGGTGAAGTGTCTAGGGGGTGAAATGTCCAGGGGGTGAAATGTCTAAGGGGTGAACAGTCTAGGGGTGAAACGTCCAGGGGGTGAAACGTCTTGATACCATTAGTACACACAAAAAACGTAAAAAGTCTGCAAAAGTAACTATCTCCAAAGAAGCAAGGCTGGATTTAGAAATGTGGCATACTTTCTTGATAAAGTATAATTCCGCTTCTTTTTTCCTACATCAAGAATTCGTCGACTCGGACACGCTACAATTATTTAGTGACGCTTCTGGCAATATCGGGTGTGCATGGGTATTCAAAACAAAATGGTTCTTTTTACGATGGACAAACGAAACTAAAGAACTAGACATATCTACTAAAGAATTGATCCCAATCGTTATTAGCATGAATACATGGGCTCACTTGTTTAAAAATCACAAAATATTGATACGCTGTGACAACAAAGTCATATGTGAATGCATTAGTTACTTTTAGTATTTGTAAAGTACATCATATTTTGATAATGTGTAATGCAAAAAAACGCATTGATACAAGATGACTCAAAGTGGTTTAAACTTCATATGGGGCCTTTAAATATATGTCATTGCTATTTGTTTTGCAACTTGTTAAGTGAATACACACTTCCAGTTGTGTGAAGCAAGATTCTTCAAACGGCTTAACATTAGCAAAATTGTATACGTGAGGTTTGTAACGCGAATAGCATATTGAATAAAAACATTTCCTACTCGTAAAATACATTAAGATAATGCATCTTATAATGTATTCAATGTTATGGATAAAATTGCAAAATACATACTAAAACTATTCTTATCGCAGTCCTAACGTTAATTATATACCAGGTAAAAGAGGGTAATTTTACTAAAATTCAAATGTGTATGCTATCATTGAAAATAGCTCTTTTCCAATTGTATGCTTTTGCTCATATAATCTGTAAACTACAATACAATAATTATTATATTTTTAGTTTAATAATTTCTGTGTTACTGGTAAACTAAAATTTTACAAGTAAAATAATGTGTTAAAAACCCAACAGCCGACATCGGCTTACGAGACACCATATAAATATACAAAGATAATCATATTCATAACTAAAACATAAGGACATCTTAAGTAGCTTCTATTGATCAATGGTACATTGAATTATGCACTAAAAATATTTTCAGTGTGTGAAAATCATGATTTAAAGAAAAATAATTGATGAGCCCCCTCCCCTAAAATGCCCCCTATTGTAAAGGGGGTACTAAAGTTACCTTTCGTAGCTTTTCTCACTCTAATCTCCCAGAAACATAGGTGTTTATATTTGGGAATATTCTCAATCTCAAATCTTGAATGAAATTACTCGTATGATTCACTATGAGAGTTTTAACGAAGAGTCGGAATACACAGTGTGGCAACTCATGAGAGTTTTAACGGAGAGTCAGAATCCACACTGTGGTAACTCGCATGATGCACTATGAGAGTTTTAACGGAGAGTCAGAATCCAAAGTGTGGCAAGTCGCATGATGCACTATGATAGTTTTAATGGAGAGTCAGAATCCACAGTTTGGCAACTCGCATGATGCACTATGAGAGTTTTAACGGAGATTCAGAATCCACAGTGTGGCAACTCGCATGATGCACTATGAGAGTTTTAACGGAGAGTCAGAATCCACAGTGTGGCAAATCGCATGATGTACTATGAGAGTTTTAATGGAGAGTCAGAATCCACAGTGTGGCAACTCGCATGATGCACTATGAGAGTTTTAGTGTGGCAACTCGCATGATGCACTATTAGAGTTTTAACGGAGAGTCAGAATCCATAGTGTGGCAACTCGCATGATGCACTGTGGGAGTTTTAATGGAGAGCCAGAATCCACAGTGTGGCAACTCGCATGGTGCACTATGAGAGTTTAACTGTGGCAACTCGCATGATGTACTATGAGAGTTTTAACGGAGAGTCAGAATCCACAGTGTGGCAAATCGCATGATGTACTATGAGAGTTTTAATGGAGAGTCAGAATCCACAGTGTGGCAACTCGCATGATGCACTATGAGAGTTTTAACGGAGATTCAGAATCCACAGTGTGGAAACTCGCATGCTACACTATGAAAGTTTTAATGGAGAGTCAGAACCCACAGTGTGGCAACTCCCATGATGCACCATGAGAGTTTTAATGGAGAGTAGAATCCACAGTGTGGCAACTCGCATGATGCCCTATGCGAGTTTTAATGGAGAGTCAGAATCCACAGTGTGGCAACTCGAATGATGCACTATGAAAGTTATAATGGAGAGTCAGAATCCACAGTGTGGCAACTCGCATGATGCACTATGAGAGTTTTAGTGTGGCAACTCGCATGATGCACTATGAGTGTTTTAACGGAGAGTCAGAATCCATAGTGTGGCAACTCGCATGATGCACTATGAGAGTTTTAACAGAGAATCAGAATCCACAGTGTGGCAAGTCGCATGATGCACAATGAGAGTTTTAACGGAGAGTCAGAATCCACAGTGTGGCAACTCGCATGATGCACTATGAGAGTTTTAATGGAGAGTCAGAATCCATTGCGGTCAGAATAAACGTTCATTATAGCTTTTTAATTTTCACCATTAGGTTATTTTGAACCGCATCGTACACAGGAACGGTTCAATTGAAAGTGATTGAAAGTGAATTATTCGATTAGCCCTATAAGTATTATTGCCCATTTTTCGGATCGAATCTTTTACATATTTTCGTATTTTTGTTATTTAAAGTTGCCAGAGTCTTTCTTTGAAAAGTAGGGTATCCGTTTATTGCAATGTATAGATTTACATTAATGTTCAAAGGTGCGCCAAACTTTAATTTGACCCAAGAGATATATAAAACACTATTGATAGAAGAAAAATGGGAACATATAAAAATGCATTGCAGCTAATGCAAACTTATTGGACTTATTGGAGGATACAACAAAATTGGTAATATACAATTAATGATTGTATCTTCTCTCTGACTTCTAACAGCAATTTGCTGAAAATGTATTGCGAGTCCTGCATTTTTTGAAATAAAATGAATAATTTATATTTACAGATATTGTCAATGACTGTGTATAGTTTATTGAAATAAGTTTAATGTTGATATTTATCAGATTGAAAAGGTTATATAAAGACATCATCGCCACCTCCAGTCATTTGTTAAGGCGCCTGCGAGCTGATACTGAAAAGGTAAGAGCTTCATTTACGAGTATACTTCACAGGAATTCTAAAGGAGTGGTATCGATATGGAGAACTGATTTCAACAATGTTTTTCCCAATCATTGAAAACATTCTGTAAAAAAACACGGCATTTTATGTAATGTTGACTGATTGACTATAATTTAACACGAAAATTATTTAGAAATATTTTATATAACTGTTTTTTAGTGCAGTTGTTTTTGCTCCTTTCAATTTGATGATTTGCGATCACCGAATGGATTCTGTCTTTTAGTGACGTCACAATTAGGTCACCCAGCTTTAGATGCTTTATTTTGAGAGATTATCTTCTATATTTCGTGCCTTATTGATTTATTTTTCACGAAAGCGTTCTATTTGACTAGATCAACATTCATGCTAAGCACATACCAAGTCTAAGGTCTTACTGACATGATTTAGATAGCGGTTTAGCGCCCCCCGATTTTGACAAAAACGGGGGGCGCTTATAGGCATCGATGTTTAGTATGAATTTCACCCAAACTTCGCATATATATAGACAAACTCATGATCTAGTCAAATAGGCATACCTGGTAAATATCCGACCCATGGTTTTTATATAAGAAACGACAATATTTTTAGCTCAAAACTGCCACGTGTCCGCCATTTCGTGATTCCATCATGTCTAATATCATTTCTATATGACGTCATACCAATAAGACGAAATACGTGACAACAGTATCCATAAACAAAATTCCTGAATTCTGATCGCAAAAGGTCAAATTGAGAATGAAATAAAATGTCTTTCCGAACCTTGTTGGAACAAAATAGCATATATACAACAGGTTTTTAGACCTCTCAATATTATAGTTATACAAAGGAATTTTTGGTTGATTTTAAAAAGTATTCAAAAAATTTAAAAAAAATCCCCCAAAATAGATAAAAATCAAGATAAACCTTTTATTTCATTAACAAGATACTTTTTTGAAATCAACCAAAATTTCCTTTGTACAATTACAATATTGAGAGACCTAAACATGTTGTGTTTATGTCGTTTTGTTCGAATGAATTTCGGAAAGATGTTTCATTTCACTCTGGAAATATGATACCAAGAACAAAACAAGTGTTTGATGTGTTTTCTAAAACAATATAGATGAAAGTATATAGTTTTCAAATTATATTGTTACCATTCAAAAGATGACCATTAAATTGACGATGTGTTAAATTTTTAGATTTTTCTTATGACTGGTTTAAGAGAAACGTGTGTTCAAAACGTTCTCCATATCGATACCACTCCTTTGAATTATTGGTTTGAATTAAAATGCTTGTTGAAAGAATGTTTGAAAAACAATAGGTTCCATCGATTATCATTTCATTTATTACATATTTAACAAAATGTTGAGATTTACAAAATCTCAACGAAAATCTCAACATTTTGTTTTGTTTTTAACACTTATTAACTTTGTTTTTAATACTTTTTAACGTATTACGTATTTAGATAAGTGCATAATGAATACGATGATGTTAGTGTCTTTGGCTGTTGCCATGGCAATAGCAGTGTCCGCTAATCCAAGCGACCGATTGGCAGAACTAGAGGGACTTCAGCTTGAGAACGAGGCTGGTAGGTTACAACATTTCATTTGGATACATGTGCATTAAGAGCACTAAGTTTGAAAATTGGTTTAAATCAAACGACTGCTAGCTTTAATCCTAAATAACCCAAAACAATATTTTAATATTTTTATATATATAAAAATAATTTAAAATATTGGAGAAAAATTGGGTCTCTAGATAATAATCTTCCACAAAGTTCTTTTAATCATATACTTCAATTTAAAGCCATATCTTTTGTTTACTAATGGATTTGGGTTTCGGGCTGTGTTTTATTTCAGTTAGTGGGGTAGAGAAAAGATCGGTCAGTCTTTCCCAGTATAGGACAAACCAACTGAAAGCTCACAATGATAAAAGAGCCATACACAATGCTCCACCTCTCGTCCTTGAGTAAGTGCAGTTTATTAACTTTAGTGTCAGGCTCAAAATTCAATGTCAATATTACATTCGATATAATTTAAATATTAAAAATAATAATTAAAACAAATAAAAATGTACAATATATAAATATATCAAAATTTAAAAAAACAGGATCAAAGCATTTTGTTCAAAATATCAAGGCAAATATAATATTTGTACCAAATATCTAAACATTTTACCATTTCTGTTTGAACGTTCGGATCGAAAATTGAATGAATCCAGTTTGGAACGTTTAGTCATTTTTAATGCTGAGCATTGAACATCGAAGCTACAATTGAACTTGCAGTGAGATTTTTAAATATTAGAAAGTGGTATGATTTAATAATAAATAGTTCACTGTTTACTCTATAAAGTAGAGAGGTTTCGCAAAATGTTTTTTTATCTCAACGTATCTAAAATCATAACACATTCACCAGATTTATGCATACATGAAATAGATCAATATTAAAACAAGATGCGTTTGCGGATACATTTAAGCATATAACACCTTGATTTGTGCGAAAGCGAAACGTCTCTACTGACTTCTTGCAAATCCGTTTCAGCGCTACGCTTAACAACGAGGCACAGGCCTACGCCGAGTATCTATTATCTAACAATAAGTTCATACATTGTTCAGATATACGGGATCAAAATATTCAAGGAATTGGTTGCGATGCATCAACAAGTGAAGCTGGAGAGAACCTCGCCAAGTCAGGGGGTATTTATTCACAAACATTTTCTTCAGTACATAATAGTATACAGCATTGGGGCTACTAGGGTTGTTTTAAACTCGCAGACTCCGACACCTGGCACTCGATATAGACATAAAACTACTGTAAATCACCGTAGCATAAATATTTATTTTAAAACGATTTGGATGTAATAAGTAGCGATAACAAATACAGCAATAATGTACAGGGTGGGCCAAAAACGTCACTTTTTTCATAACACTATAACTTGTTGTCCCAAACTACACGTACATACACCAAATTTTGCAGTTATATAGTGCCAAGGACTTCTTAGTAATAAAATAATCGTAACAAGTCCTTCAACTGGGATTATATTTGATCTAAAAGAGGATTTTAATTGGTCCGCAACCCTCTTTGATGATATCTTTTAGTCTTAGTCGCCTTGCTGAAATAGCAATATCGATGAAATGTTGACTAAGTTTCTTTCAACTTGTCTTGCAATTTTTGAGATTTGGTGCCTGCATTCCATTTCCTGGAGACCTTCCCATACCCAATACTCACTGGGGTTTGCATCAGGGCTATTAGCTTGGTGATCATCAGACCATGTCAGTTCAGGAACATTTTCCAAAAATGTTAATTTCTTATGGCACACCACATGTTTGAGTGAGACGCTGGTGACATGTTATTTAAATAAAAGTTTACAATTCATAATACGTGGCTAGATTGTTACTTCAAGTTTCATTTGGTACGCAAATTTTGATTTTGTATCAAAAGTTTTGGGTTTTGGACGTCTTGGGTATTGCTAGGTGACATAATTATTGTACATCATTGTACATCAACAATTGTTAGATTTACACTAGTGCGCTAAGACGTCTTAGCTAAAACGTTTTAGCGTTAAAACGTTTTACAAATGTAATGTAAATCCAGATTTTCTCAAGGGCTCTCGGCTAAAAGCGCTTAGCTAAAACGTCTTTAGGACTCTAGTCATAGCCAAGACGTCTTAGCGTTAAAACGTTTTACAAGCGAGTGTAAATCATAAGAGCTCTTAGCCCGTATTTTTGCGTTGCGCTGAACGAAAAATTTGAAACTCTCTGTTTACATGTGTCGCATGGTCCTTTTTGTCTTATCCCTTGTTCCCAATATCATCCCAAAAATAACGAGATGGAATTTTCAATATGGCCACTTAATTCAAAATGGCCGCCATTTTTCGTAAATACTAGTTGACGGATTTGGTTCAAATTTTATATGCTGATGCCTAGGGACAAAGGAGCTACGCTGAAGAAGAGATTTTCAAAATGGCTGCTAATAATCAAAATGGCGGCCATTTTTCGTAAAAAACGTAATCTTTGATAACTCAAATACCAGTGAACAGATTTGGTTCAAATTTTATATGATGATGCCTAGGGGAAAAGTAGATTTCTTCAAGGAAGAATTTTTAAGATGGTGGCTTAATTTCAAAATGGCCGTCATTTTTCCTAAAAAACGTAATCATTGATGTAACTCAAATACTAGTTGACAGATATGGTTAAAATGCTGATGCCTAGGGACAAAGGAGCTTTACTGAAGAAGAGATTTTTAGAATACTGCTAAATATCGAAATGATAAGTGACTTAAAGTCACTATCTAATTCTGAATATTACTCATGCAAACTACATTCAGTGCCATCTCTCTGCAAGTAGTAGTGGTTCTCCTCATGTCACGCAAAGCATTTTGAATCATTGGTAGGTTCTGGCAGAGAACATCAACCTCATTGGTGATTCTCTATCGTCGTGTACAATGTCATGTCTAAAACTTGGTCCAGGGGTGATTTTGGATTATTGTGCAAAAGGAATTTTTATAGGCATAAGCCTATAAAATTATCAAATCCTTCGACCGGTATTTGAGTTATTGCCCGGACACACGAACGGACGGATTCTTTATATCCCCCTCGAACTTCATTCGGTTGGATAATTACTGCAAATAATAGTGATAAAAATATTTTAGGTCAAGTGGACAACTACGATGCGACTGCCCCATGGTACAATGAAGTGAACGAATATGACTTTTGTGATCAGGGGTTTAGCGAGGTAAGTACACAAGAATAGTATTGTTAGCCTAATTGTAACGTAAAAGTATTTCGGGTTTTCAGTACTTGTATTTGCAGACAATGATGTGTTAATAACACAAAATTGATGTCATCAAACATAGTATTGAATAAATTATGGCTACTAGGTCACAACTTTTCAAAATATACTTATCTTTCTGGTAGGTTTATTCACTACTGCCACAAATACAATTTATAAACAGGCATAAAGTCCTATTGTTATGAAAATAGGGTTTTTTATGAAAATAGGCTATTCACTATAATGTCCATCTATAGTTACACATTTCTTATGACTGGTCTACCGATTTCTGAACAAACTTTCAAAGCCATTCTAGTTCATTTCCCGAAGTCTTGCTAAGACATTTGATCTAATTAGTTCATCTATTCTTGCAAAATTAATTTCTCTTGACTTCAGCATATAAACAAAAGTCATCGGGCTCGAGGGCAGTAGAATATGGGGGTGTCCAAGTAGGCAATGACGTCCAGTATATTTTCATTGCGTCGAGTATTTTCAAAATTTCGTCATTTCCCACTTCATTTCTCTATATATCATGAAGCTAAACGTTGCCGACTGGAGGCTGCGCTTTTATTTCATACATAAGAAAGTTGCATATCTTGTCATTGAAAGGGTAAATAAAAAGAAATAAAACTCAATTCATGCATTCCCTTAAAAATTCAAAATATTTCCGTGCTTAACCCCCACCTTACAGAAAAACTAGGTTGTCATTTTATAATAATGAACCTGTTGCTAGGTAACCCTACTATCACACCAAACTAGTTCTCACTACGTTCTTAAAAACGGGCTTCAACTGTGTACGAACGGACTGGACCTACTAAGAACCGTTTGGGATCTATTAACAAACTTCATCGAACGTACTCGAACGGGTAGGTCCTCTAGAACTTAGACAATGCTCAAAATGTTCTCGTGGTCGTCACGTTCTACAATTAGAACGAGTGACAACGTACTAACGACGAGCTGGACGTACTACGAACGGAACCGTCGTACCTCAATCCTACTAGGGACGTTTTAACAACGAGTTGAATTGTCTGAGGACGTGTTGAGAACGAGGTAGAACTAATTGCAAACGGGTTTAAACTGATTGAGAACGTATTTAACACTGCTTATGAACGAGTTAGCAAAAATATAGCTATCACACCAAACAAGTTGCCACTGCGTTCTTCAAAACTGTGTGCGAACGGAATGAACGTAGCTGCAACTTTCTAAGGTCTATTTACGAACTTTATGATCGTTCTCAGACGGGAATGTGATTTTAGAATTTTGAATCGATTCAAAATTCGATGGCGACCATAACGTTCTGTAATCAGGTCATGTTGACCTTCTAGACTAAGGGACGCGTTCTACTACGTTGCACACCGACGTGGTGCGACCTGAACGAACTGAGAACGAGAAGGACGTATTGAAGACTGTTTAAGAACGAAGAAGCTAATTATTTCAGACATATTTCCCGACCACAGCCAGATTGAGCCCGTTTTACGACGTTTTCGTAGGACTGGCAAGAACGGGTAAGAACGAGTTTGGTGTGATAGGGGGTTAAGGAAACACTGTAAAACGATCACAGACTACGAAGTTAGAGTTCGGGTTACTCACTTCGAGAGCCATGTTCGATTTTGAAACGTATGGCTCTCAAACGGGGAAGTGGACAGCTGATTAATAGTGACCTTTGAAATCGAATTAAGTCGATCAGCGGCCTACTTTTGTTCTCTAACTATGTTATACATCATTATCATCCTTCTGTGCAAGTATTGGAGCGCTGAAGTACTTCCTTTTCGATCAAGACTTGTAATTGTTAGTCGAGTGAATGTTTTTACTGCCAATTCGTTCGTTGCGTATCTCGCTCCAAGCAAACCGCCATATTGGAAATAGGTCTAAAAGCCCGGTCTAAAAGACATTCACTCGATGAACAATTTACAAGTCTTGATCGAAAAAGAAGTATTTCAGCGCTCTAATACTTACACGGATTGATGATACTGATGTAAGACACAGTTAGAGATCAAAAGTAAGCCGCTGATCGACTTAATTCGATTTCAAAGGTCACAATCATTCAGCTGTCCAAATGCTCCGTGGGAAAGCTATTATATCAAAATTCAAATAGCTTTCGCAGGAAGTAAAGTTCAGGTACCTCTATCTTGATCTATTGAAATTTTGCACAAAAACTAAAAAAAATGAAAAATCAATTTTCGAAATGTTTCAAGGTCAACTTAACTTGCTTCAAATAGACCAAGCATTTTTTAAACTCACCTACAAGTTCTCAGGAGATCAAATTTGACCTCAACTTTGAGATTTGACTTTTGATTCTCCTTCAAATCGTTGAAAATACCTGCGAGGGTCTCCATGAGATTGCTTGCAATTTTGAATGTATACTAATATGTTACAGCAAACTGGACACTTTACTCAAGTTGTATGGAAGGGAACTACAAAGGTTGGTTTTGGAAGAGCAATTGGCGCGGGTGGAGTAAGTGAATTTTTTTTAAATATTGGTAGGGGTTTGGTCTGGCAAGAACACTATGCACAACAAGAGGGGGAGAAACCCCAGGGTTCAAAGATGACATACGCTTATAATGTAAATCTGTATTGAGATGACATTGTCGCTGATTGGTTTAGCGAGTCGATCGTTGATTGGTTTAAAACTAGGTCAATTTGAAAACTTTGAAAACCAAGATGGAGGGTACGTTTTCGACAAAAGGAGGTGCGCGAAGGAGGAAATTGTATGTCATCAATTGAATCATGGGGTTTTCCCTCCTCTTATGCACAACGTAGAGTGGAGACACCTAAGAAAAGTCACTTTATTTCTCATTCTCAAACCTCTAGCTGCATCCCATTTGGATGAAACTAAATGGATTTGTTGACATGCTTATTGTGATTAAGATTACAATCGTGATCCAGCGTTCCGAAAAACTTCCCGTATAAAAACAATATGGCGGCTCCAGGCGAGTTTACTGGATGAGTCTATTTTCAAAAAAATAGGGGAGTTTATTATACTCAGGTTTATTGAAATTGTCATCCTGAGATAAAACAATCCGCCGAAAAGATTACCATCTGTAAACATTGAGAGGATGAATTATCCAAACGACACATGTACATGAGCCCACACAAATCCTTGTATTGATCCAAACAGCTTTGTTTTATTTACAGGATATTTCATACGTCCATGCTTTGTGCAAATACTTGATGGTAAATCTAGATCTCATTTTTTTTATTAAATACAAATAGAATATCGCAAACTTCACCAATAAGATGTGAAATTGATTTGTCAAAATAAAAATCTACCTTTTATAACTGCGTGGCGATCTACACTTCACTATTGCTAGTATACATAAATTGGGAGAGCTCTTTCTACATTTACACCAACCAAGGGAAAGATCAATACCCGGTGATTTCAGCGGGAAATGGCGTTCCGTTCAGTGTATGCGCTGCGCGCGCACGCATAAATGTGATTATCAAATATATTTAGGGGAGGGCTATTTGATATAGTTTTTGGTCTCAGGCGCGACCCAGGGCTGTTGTCTTAAGGACATTTCGTTGAAAATGAGCCATACGGCTGATAATTGGTAAGAGTTTGCGATCTTATAATGTATAACTGTTACTCAGACACATATTTTGACACGATTCTGTTGGAAATAAGCTTTGAACCGAGAGATATTCACGATTGATATGCACATTTTTGATTATGCCATTGCTTTTCCATTGCACAATCCATGTATTGATAGAAGTAACATTAATAATGCAGATTGTTTACCTTCAATACATGGCAGACACTACATATCGGTCTATTAAATACCAGTTTGTGCCTTAAATAGTTTTATATTTCCATCCACGGCCTGGAGCCTTGGTGTGTTTGTCTCTTATGTGTATGCTTGTGCATGGACTTCTAATCACTAGCAGAATTTAACATGATGCAAACTCGACATTATAACTCATGCTGTAACATTTTGACTTCGCTGGAAAACAATAGGAATTATTTTTCTTGCCAATCAATCATGAATCACAATCAAAATTTCTGAATGATCAATCAGGCAATGGTCCAAATCAAGTTATAACATTATATGATATTCAGCAAGAAGTCCGGTAGAAATACAGAATATTTAAACATCAAAGCTGAAAGTTAAAAGCTAATCTGTCAATTTTCTGTCTGCAAAAGAGCGTTTACATTTGACACAATAACAGACTGAGGCTTTGAAATCTAGGATTCCCCAGGAAAATATGACGTCATACTAATTAGCATAAGGATTTCCCTATTGGTCTGGGTCGAGCCTTGTTCGAAAACACAATCCATAAATATCTGCTAATTTCTAAGGAGATAGGAAGTGTATAACGTGTTTATCGATTTTGTTTAAAGATTTAATCAATTATGAAATTGTTTAAGTGGATAAAGTGGTCACACTTGCTTCAATTCATAGCGTAATCGACGGATAGAAACTGACCGAATTCCCGATATCCTACCCCGTATTGTTGTAGGCTACTAAGCACAGTGACCTACATAGGGCGCTATTACAAACAAGTACTGCACGAACCGATAAATTCCCGGGCATTGTAACGCCCTTGCACCAACCTGTACAACCTTGAGTATTATTTCCGGATCGCGCCTCTTATACTAAACGGCGAGCAACACCAAAACGAGCGTTCGAGTTAGCCAGTTAGTAAACGATATGCCCTAGCCTTTAAAAGAATAAATGAACTTTCAAAGTTTTTAACATTAAGCAAATTGAGGATTTGGCTCATCTTATTTCGGAAATCTTCGAAATTGAATACAGAAAACTTAACTTCAAATTTACATAAAACTTAGAATTCAAATATGTCTTCAAAGAAGAAAACGTTTGTCTTTAATTTTTAAAGATGCAGATCGCCTAAAATCTGAGGAAAATGAAAGTTCGGGCATTCTATTTATTATTTATTAATGGATGGTATTTTGTTTTACCCCAAATTTTGCTTTTGGTATGTTAGTTGTACAACATACCTGTCCTATTTTCAATTTAAATATACCACTTCTCTTGCACATTTCGTCAAAATTCGGATAAACTTAATAGGGTATAAATACTCGTAATCAAAACCATATTACTTCACATACTGTTTGATGGAACATCCCGCATCATGTAAATTCACATATCGCATACAATGTAAGCTTACATAAAAACATATTATTTGAATGATAGTCATATCTGGAGTGCCCATGAATAATCGGGATGTCTCTTTCGTTTTGAACGAAAAGTCGGGAGAGAATCTCGTTTAAAATTGGGAGATTTTGATTTAAAATCAGGATGTCTCGTTAAAAAACGAGAATTTTTAACAAAGAATCTGGAGATTTTGGGGAAAAAATCTGGGGTTTCGAGTAAAAATCAGGATGAGCACTAAAAATCGGAATTTGACAGGTGAGGTACAAGAATCTCAACATTTCTAGATCTGAAAAGAAAAGACAATTTGATTGTTCAATGTAATTGGCAATTCCTAAGATTTACCGGAACAATCAGTTTTTAAAACAGAATTGTTGCTTGATTTAATTTTAAGGTTCACACTGTAGACTCAAATACACGCAAACTATATGCTAATTTTAGACATACGTGGTTGCCCGATACCTTCCAGGAGGTAATTCAGGAAAATATTACCTTAATGTCGGAGATGCCCCTGCCAGTTTGAACAGAGCTGCGTGTCCTCCAACTGCACCACCCTCGACCACAAGGATTGCTGAATGTCAAAGACTGGCGGGTATATTCAACATGAATCTATATTACGACGAAAATACTGACAAGCCCAGTGCCCATGATAAGCCTGCCTGCTCTTTGGTCTGTAAGTGACCTTTCGTCAATGTATGTTTACCAGTTCGATTGGGACACTTGGGTAAAACAATGTTATGTGCTAGATTATAAATCGACTGATGCGCAGTTTTGGTGCGCGGGCCATGGTATTGGTAGTAAGATTTAATCATAACTTTTACGGCATTGCTAACGAGCTGTTTCTATGCACTTTAAATTGTCCGATCTCTTTCCGACATGTTCGATTATTTCTGACGGGGCTGTCGTATTTGTCCTCTTTTGCCGAATCTCTGATTTTACTCGCTGCAAATGTGGCGTTCATCCCTGAGCAATAAGTGACCTGTAAAATTATCATGGGTGTTTAAAAGTTTAATTTAATGTTATCTTTGTTAACTTATGTCATATGTTTTTCCCGGTCAAATGTGTATGATAATATGTAACTATGTTTTTCCCGGTCAAATGTGTATGATAATATGTAACTATGTTTTTCCCGGTCAAATGTGTATGATAATATGTAACTATGTTTTTCAGGGTCAAATGTGTATGATAATATGTAACTATGTTTTTTTTAAATGCGTGGAAAAACTATATATTTATGTAATATGGAGACCTAATAAATGTTTTGTTTAAAATACAGGTGATCCTGGTAACATTGTCTTCAGTTTTAATCAAATCGAAGGACAACTTGATTGTGAGAAGCGAGATGGTTCTACTGGGATGTGTGTGTCCAATGTGTGCACTTAAACGACTGCTCGAGAGCCGAATATTGAAGACGCCGATTGTAATAAAGTTTATGAAATACGGCTATATGTGAGCGCAAGCATAAGCCACGAATTAAATCTACTCTTTTGTCATGTTATCATATCTGACCAATCATATTAGCCAGGTATGGTCACGTGACTTGTCTACATCAGGAGATTCAATCTGAAATTCATTAATGTTGTATTGCTTTTGGACTCAAAATAAAGTTAAATAGTGCATTAAATAATGTGTTAAATGCTTCCTATGGACTGGAATGTTTATTTGGCCTAAACATATACGATGCATGACATCATAGAACGTGTAGAAAACTTTTTTTTGTTTTTTTTTGGATAACAAATATTTATGTTTATCATATTTACTTCTGATACGTGTTTCTTTTATTCATATTCACTCCATTTCACATGCATCTTACCGCGTCAATTCAATAATCTTATTACCATTTCTTTACAATGAAATGTACAGGAAATATTTTGCGAGAATTATAATCATGTTTTCGTATTTGCTCTATTTTTATAGCCAAAGAGTACTTCGTAAATAAGTCAAAATATGTGAGTTTTTTCAAAATATCTGACTTACATTGAGTTATCAAGGAGGCGAGAGAAAATAAAGGTGACTTATCAGTACTATGTCTGGACGTAGCAATTTATGCGTATGGTTCATCACCCCATAAGTTAATAGAATTCACCATAGTTACTACATTCCTAGGAAGATGCAGAAGATGATCTTAGACTACTGAGACAACCTTAAAATGAGATTTTCACTCACTTGGGGATGTCTGATTGCATCGAAGGCCGCGCATCTTGCGAGGTCCGGAGAAATGATCCCCTGGGAAATTTTCTTTCGAATACGTTATTTGATGCAATCTGAGCGTTTTTATCAACTTTAGATAGTTCTATTCTGATGAAACTTAACGGTTGAATTAATATGCAAATACAGAATCATCAATAAATGTGCAAACAAATATGCATTTTATAACACAGAGATCCGTGCTTGCGAACCACTTGTACATAGTGGTTCGCGGCCACGCATCTCTGTGCGCGAGTGGAGAAATATCAAACTCCGAGGCAGTGATTGTCTTCAACATATCGAGGCACTGCATGGGAGTTTAGAGAAATATGTTCGGGAGCGAGGAAATAGTGGTGCGCAACTAAAGATTTTACGTTCGCAATGTGAGAATCGTGGTTCGAGTGCAAGGAACGTAGTTCGCGACGTCAGTATCAGCAACCGTTACAATTAGATACACTACTTAAGCATGGGCTTTCTCCCCGACTTTCTCTTTAAATCCCTTGACTTAACGAATTATTTAACCTTTTGAATCCCAGGCTCTAAAATCGGTTGAAACTTGAAACCAGAGAATTTTTTCATTTTTTCCACCTTTTGACATTTACTACATACCCATACAACTTAGTGCTCAGCTTAGTAAAATAAGATAGCAGAGATCATTTCTACACGTTTTAAAACATTTTTTGTGTAAATTGGATGAAAATTGTTCAAATAAGAGCAATTTTTGTGAAAATTTTTGTGACGGATTTTCTCGTCCCTCTGGGTTTTAAGGTCATTTCTGAGGTGACGAGAAATCTCGTCATTCTGGGTAGTCAAGAGGTTAAATGAATGCAGGGATTCATTTTTCTACCTCATTCTAGTGAAGTATTAAATGATCTGTTTTATGCAGTTAGATTAGAATTATGCGAGTTTATGTCATTTTCATTTCATTAGCTGTTACTATGGTAACAATGTAACGAGAACAAAATTAGTTATGTCAACCAAAATCAACCATATGGTCAGAAGTAAGCGAAACGTTTTGCCCACAATTGTATCGCGTGTATGGTTTGTGCGACTCACAGGTCCATTTTTCGCAACTCACGATTTTGTTATCCATTACTTCTATTTACAATTGTTCATAATCATGAGGTACAAAGAAGGAAAAATGAACCCTCGAATGAATTCTGCGTAATTCTGCTTGTGTAGAATCGACAGACTCTTGTTAAACATTTTAAACATAACTAAATATTATTCTGCTGACCAGTGAATAAGTCTGCTTGTTGTGGGCTTTTTGGCATGTTCAATAAAGCCAATGTGGACAACTCTAATTCTCTCTGCCTTTCTTCCACAACATGTTCTTGTGTAACAGCTGGTGTTTGAAAAATGACAACGTGCTTCGATGTACCACGACACGATTTTATAAGGTGCCTTTTCATGTGTTCTTTACGAGAAAATGTACTATCACACTGTTGGCAACTGAATGGCTTTGGCCCAGTATTGTGTGTTAGCATATGCCGCTTAAGGTGTAGTTTTCGAGTGAATCGCTTGTCACAATCGGGGCAAACTAGGTTTAGTTCACCAGTATGAGTGGCTTTCACGTGGTATTCTAGGTGGTTTTTAATAAGGAATTTCTTGGGGCATTGATCACACATGAATTCTGGACGTTGATAGTTTGGGTCATGTCTTGTTAGCGTATGCTTGCGTAATGCGGCATTGGAAGAAAAAAGCTCTGCGCAGAATTCACATTGGATGCATTTAGTAATTTTTTTGTGTATCCGATTAACGTGATCTTTTAATTTGTCCTGCTGTTTGAAAGCCTTTGGGCAAGCATCACATTTGTATGGTCTCTCATCAGAATGTGCAGTCTTCATATGTTTATTTAGTTGCCTCATCTTGGTAAACTCCTTTCCACATTCCGCACAGACCTTCTTAACTTCCTCTGTAGTTCCCTGAACACTCATTTGAGATTCACATGGTGTTTTAACCAGGACTTTACCCTCGTTAGCATTTGAGTCTTTACGCGCAGTGTGAATCAACGAATGCTTCATCAGCGTATCAACTCGTCGGAAATCCTTGTTACAGTGTACACATTTATATGGACGCTCGCCAGTGTGAACAAGCTCGTGCCGTTTCAGGTGTTTTTCATATTTGAAACATCTATGGCACTCCATGCACCGATGCCCTCCTGGACTTGATGTAATGACATCTCTTGGTACAGGAATAGCACGATCCGTGGGAGCGTTGGGTGAAGCGTTATCCACTGCGTCATGTGTATCTTCAAGAATTGCCTTCGCATGGAATTCCTTTATATGGTTCTTCATTAAAGATTTCATCTGGAAGTTCTTCGAGCATCTACCACACGTGTAGAGTCTGGACTTGAAAGAGCCATCAGATTTCAAAATAATCGAGCAAATGCTTTCCACAATATCCATTCCTGAAAGCATAATAAAAAAGATTTAAACATTTTTTTTATTATTTTTATGTACGTATAGTATGTTTGCTTGAATATTTTTCTGTACGTATAGTATGTTTGCTTGAATAATAATCACAAATTCGTCTTCAATTAGCCTTTTTAGATTCCTTTGCAGTATTCTCATAAATGTTTTCAATAACAGGATTTTAGGTTTTTAGTTTTCTTGACAAGTACCTTTCATGGCTAATAATTTAGGACTTTCTCTCGTATGGATATTAGTGCCACCTAGTGTGTCACCTTTAGAAGTCAAATTCTTCGTGAAAGGGGATAGATAATCGGGCAATCAATTCAAAAGAATATTTAACAAGCTTCTTCTGAAAGGAAAAAAATATGACACTTGGATAAGTGGTAGTACATCACGGATTTGGTAGAACGTTTTAACTGTCCAATGTCTTATCTTAAAGACATTGGTCTTGGGTTTGCATGTGAATAGACCTTTCTTGTCTAAATAGACCAGATCATCAACAAATCTTGCCAGACTTGACTTGAAAGACGAACGAACGAATGGACGGGCAGCTTTTCTATATCCCCTCGAACTTTAGTTCGGGGGATTGCTTTAATACATTCCACTCTATGATTGTATTCATGGGCCTTGGCAAATGGCCTTTTGTCTGGCACTCTAAAGATTTATACCACACACCACCGTGACATTACAATACAAAGTTTGATATCTATTTTGCTATAGCAGGGTGATTCATGAGCCTTGGGAAATGGCCTATCGTCTGGCACTCTAAAGATTTATACCACACACCACCGTGACATTACAATACAAAGTTTGATATCTATTTTGCTATAGCAGGGTGATTCATGAGCCTTGGGAAATGGCCTATCGTCTGGCACTCTAAAGATTTATACCACACACCACCGTGACATTACAATACAAAGTTTGATATCTATTTTGCTATAGCAGGGTGATTCATGAGCCTTGGCAAATGGCCTATTGTCTGGCACTCTAAAGATTTATACCACACACCACCGTGACATTACATGTACAATACAAAGTTTGATATCAAATTTTGCTATAGCAGGGTGATTCATGGGCCTTGGCAAATGGCCTATTGTCTGGCACTCTAAAGATTTATACCACACACCACCGTGACATTACAATACAAAGTTTGATATCTATTTTGCTATAGCAGGGTGATTCATGAGCCTTGGCAAATGGCCTATTGTCTGGCACTCTAAAGATTTATACCACACACCATCGTGACATTACAATACAAAGTTTGATATCTAATTTTGCTATAGCAGGGTGATTCATGAGCCTTGGCAAATGGCCTATTGTCTGGCACTCTAAAGATTTATACCACACACCACCGTGACATTACAATACAAAGTTTGATATCTATTTTGCTATAGCAGGGTGATTCATGAGCCTTGGCAAATGGCCTATTGTCTGGCACTCTAAAGATTTATACCACACACCACCGTGACATTACAATACAAAGTTTGATATCAAATTTTGCTATAGCAGGGTGATTCATGGGCCTTGGCAAATGGCCTATTGTCTGGCACTCTAAAGATTTATTCCACACACCACGGTGACATTACAATACAAAGTTTGATATCTATTTTGCTATAGCAGGGTGATTCATGAGCCTTGGGAAATGGCCTATTGTCTGGCACTCTAAAGATTTATACCACACACCACCGTGACATTACAATACAAAGTTTGATATCTATTTTGCTATAGCAGGGTGATTCATGAGCCTTGGCAAATGTCTACTGTCTGGCACTCTAAAGATTTATACCACACACCATCGTGACATTACAATACAAAGTTTGATATCTAATTTTGCTATAGCAGGGTGATTCATGAGCCTTGGCAAATGGCCTATTGTCTGGCACTCTAAAGATTTATACCACACACCACCGTGACATTACAATACAAAGTTTGATATCTATTTTGCTATAGCAGGGTGATTCATGAGCCTTGGCAAATGGCCTATTGTCTGGCACTCTAAAGATTTATACCACACACCACCGTGACATTACAATACAAAGTTTGATATCAAATTTTGCTATAGCAGGGTGATTCATGGGCCTTGGCAAATGGCCTATTGTCTGGCACTCTAAAGATTTATTCCACACACCACGGTGACATTACAATACAAAGTTTGATATCTATTTTGCTATAGCAGGGTGATTCATGAGCCTTGGGAAATGGCCTATTGTCTGGCACTCTAAAGATTTATACCACACACCACCGTGACATTACAATACAAAGTTTGATATCTATTTTGCTATAGCAGGGTGATTCATGAGCCTTGGCAAATGTCTACTGTCTGGCACTCTAAAGATTTATACCACACACCACCGTAACATTACAATACAAAGTTTGATATCTAATTTTGGAGATGAATTCTCAAAAATGAGATATGTTTGTGGAGAAACAACTAAACAGTTTTATGTCAAAAAAGACAACCGAAGATGCCTGGAGAAAAGCCGGAGATCTTCTTTGCAAACGAAGTTGGCCGAGGGTACTACGAATGGGAAGAGGACGTCTTTAATTGGTCAAAAAGAGAGACTCGGCATTGTCCGTCAGATTGAATCTGCAAAACTCGGTTGTATGTCTTACCTTCAAAAGACTCTTTTGCTTGATGGTTATATGGAATTCCAAATGTGTAACTTATTGCGTTGAGTTGCTGAGTTGTTAGGTCAGTCAGTTGAGTTAGTTTTATGTCAAAATAGACTTTGTTTGTTTGATGGTTATATGAAATTCCAAATGTGTAAAATACTTGATTGAGTTGCTGAGTTGTTAGTTGACGTGAAATTTCACTTCTTTATAAAGATGGCAATTATTACGAAAGGGCCCAATTGGTTATATCATGACATATGGTAATACATGGCCATGGTTATTATATTTTACCATAGGCTTTCAAGAGTACTAGATGAATGTACATGTCTCAGTATTATCTTGAAAAAAATTGAATCCGATTAAAGTATAAAATATGTTTCATCTCATTTAAAATTAAACAAAATTGACCAATAAGAAAGATGTCTCTAAATTTTCTCCTCAAATGTTGCATTGTGGCTAATTATTTAGGAACACATTTCAATAAAAATGTAATTTGTGAGAGAACTTAACACTTTCATTTTTTCCATAATTATGATGAAATCCATTTTGTATTGTATAATCAACATGCATGTACCACATGTATATAATTATATTATTATTTTTGAGTTATTTCTTTATATTATACATGAAAAGAACAAAATATTTTTCTTGGAATGTGCGCAGGAAGCATTTTTTGAAAGGCGATACTCATGTAAGAATAATGGGAAGTAACATACCCTTCTCATCAAAACTGCATATTTATTTGTTCTATTCAGATAATATAGTAATTATAACGACTCCGGGCAGGCCTTGGGGCGAAGTGGTGGCCATAAAATCATTTACCAATATGAATTTTTCTACTCTTTTGAAAGCCCATGTAAATATGATAATTGATTCACTACTCTCAGAGTCAGATGTGGAGAGAACTTCCCCGATAAATACATTTGCAAACAAATTTCTCTTGAGTAAATATACTTTACTTTCTCTTTGTTAAAGTAACACTATGTTTATTTCAATTCCATATGTTGTACAATATCAGATTATTACTTAATTTTAAAGTAACAATATGTTTATTCCATATGTTGTACAATATCAGATTATTACTTAATTTTAAAGTAACAATATGTTTATTTCAATTTCATATGTTGTACAATATCAGATTATTACTTAATCTTAAAGTAACAATATGTTTATTTCAATTTCATATGTTGTACAATATCAGATTATTACTTAATCTTAAAGTAACAATATGTTTATTTCAATTTCATATGTTGTACAATATCAGATCTACAAACAGAAGAGGTAATGTGTTTAATTTTCATGTGCATATTTACAACTATAATATTGAGACAATTCATTAGCCACATTTTATTTAACATTTCATATCTAATAACTAGAAATCTGATCCTACATGTACATTATACAAGGGGCTATCCAGATATTTTGATTAAAATACTCTTGCACCATTTTAAATCACATTATTCACTTTGAGAGATTTGTATCAAAGTAAATAATGGATTAATCAACAGGTTTCCAGGATACTGTTGTCCTTGTCGCCATATCAGCCATAAATCAGCTTTAATGTAACAAGAATACCAATATATTATAAATATATTACGATACATGTTGCATGTAGGCATATGATTTCAGGTAAAATACAATGAAATAACGATTTTAAAGACATTTGTGAAACATGTATTTTTCATTCAAGAGAGCTACATATTACTTTACTATTCACACTTTGCATGCTTAGTTTGCAGATGTTTTAAGAGATTTCCACGATCTTTAAAAGCAGCTTGGCACAAGGAACAAATATGTGGTCGTTCATTTGAATGTACTAATAGATGGCGCTTGAGGGAGCCCAATATATTGAATTGTTTGGAACAATATTCACACTGGTATTCTTTGTCAAGGACAGGTTGGTGAATTTTTTTCCTATGTTTCTTCATGTTGCCTTTATCGCTAAATCTTCTTGGACACTGATCACATGCAAATGGTTTTTCCCCAGTGTGGCTTCTTTTATGACGTTCTAATGCATAGACTGACGGGAAACTTTTCCAACATTCTGAACATGGATAACTCGGGATGTTCAATTGGTTATTATCGTGTTTTGCTCTGACGTGCTTCAGCATATTACCTTTATCAGAAAAGTCTTTTTGACAATGAGCACAAGTGAATGGCTTTTCCCCTGTGTGTTTCCTTATATGGCGTTTTAAACACCACGTATTCTGACATCGTTGGTTGCACCATGGACACAAATATCTTAACTGGGTGTATCTGTTATCAGGGAAACCATTTTGATAATCTGAGATTGATTTGTCTTCCAGGTTAAGTGTACCAGATTCATTGTTTTCTGTTTTAACATGCATTTCCTCAGTCATAGTGTTAAAATAGTTGTTTTCATCATTTTGCTCTGTTTTCGTAAAACCACTCAATTCCGACATGTCGTGACTGGGGAAGTTATTGTGGCAAAATTCAGGATTACTGTCACCAAAATCAGGATTATCTTGGGTGGCAAGATCTGTAAATACAAAACAAAAGGATGATAAAAATTTGAATTTTAAATATTTAAAACAACTGTAATAGTTAAACAAAATTATTGAGAAATGACCAAAACTCTATCATCCTTGTGTTTTGTCTTTGTGGAAATTTAAAGTTTGTCTTTTACAGACATATTTTTAGAGAAAACCAATTTACCATCAACTTTTGAGACGACGCTGAACCACAAATGTCCAGCATCTATTTCAAAATTTCCTGCTACAACTGACAATTGAAGTCTTATGTATGGACGTAAGACAAACTATTCTATAGTGAGTTTTAACTAAAATATCTGTGATTTTAATAGAATATGAATACTGGAGGAACATTCATTCTTTTTATCTTCGTGTAAATAAAAGTTATTCTATTTTAGAAACACAAAATCATATACATATACACCTGTACTAAGAAAGCTCAATTTCTTGGCAACAATACACCATTTTAGGGGGGACCCTGGCTTGATCATTAGGGAGGTTTTTTAAAAATGTGTACGTGAATGTGTAGAATTATGGTCCTCTGTGGATTAGTTCTCCAATCTGTTTACTTGGGCGATTGAGTATACAGGTATACGGAAAATAATTGTAATTAAGTTCCTGGAAAAGGTAATTGACAACGGGACAGTATTCCCTGGTGGTCAGAATATTACATGCTCACCTACAGGTTCTGTTACTAACACATACATGTAACTTACCTTCCCTATTGTTTAATTTAATTAGTTTGAATTGAAAAATGTAAGCATTAATATTTTTCTATATTTCATTTCTATTTTTTGTAATATTTTGAGGAGTCAATTGCCTCATGGCTGGAATGCCCACAACAGTGTCAAGATATAGGGAGAGAAAATATTCTAGCATAGTAAGAGCATTCAATATACATTTAGCAAGTGTATCACAGGCCTTGAGTTTATTGATTTTCTCCCTATATCATGACATGTATAAATGCCCATGTCATATATTCCTTACATTTTCCTATTGTGTTTTCTTTCGTGTGTTAACATGTTGTCAAGCCTGCTGAATTTCCTCATACATAGGTTACACTGGAATCTTTTTTCCCCAGTATGGCAACGTCTATGATATTCCAGGTGTTGTTTCCGTTTAAATGATTTCAAACAAATGTCACAATGGAATTTTCTATCAAGATTTGAAGGTTCGGATGATTTGTGCCAATTCATGACACCTTGGTTTGGTTCAAAGGGCACTGAACTAGAGGCCATTGGAGCCAGTTTTGCCTTAGATGCCATTGTACTAAACTTTGAAGGACAATACATTTGTTCAAATGAACCACTATGAGGGATTGTTCTAGGTTCCCATATTGTGGCCTCCTCCTGGCCAGTCACTAATAAATTATAGCCATTCCCTGTGAGTTCTGACTTAATTTGTTCATGGGGCATTAAATTATTTCCATAGTCATTTTTGTCATCATATTTACATTCAATAATTGCTTGATGACTGTCAATAGTTGATGTAATATCTTGATTTTTCTTTTCAGCTGATAAAAGTTGATTCTCTTCTGCTAGTTGCGAATACATACTGTTATTGCCATTACCTGAAAATACAGGGTATCCAATAAGTTCTGTTGCCAAGTAAAAAATCTCTGTATGAATAATTCATATTACCAGTGTCACAGTTGCACCATTCAAAAACTGTTCAAACAACAGCTACACGAAGAGATTGGACCATTTTTGTTAGTTACCATATCCATATAGAAATATTCCAATCTCTTAATATAGGGTGAACGATAAAATATTTAGATTTGAAAGTACAATGGCAGAGAACTAGATGGATACCCTGTATAATTTACTCTTAACTTACATAATGTTCATAATCAGTTATTGATAGCCGAGTTCTAAATTCAAATATTTTGGACAGTTCTGGCTAACTTTTCGTACATGAGCAACCTAATCACACATCAGATTGATAACTGTTGCTTGGCACACATTACTCATCCTCCGATCACAGGGCTTCAAAATCCAGAATATATTCTTCCTTTTGACCCCCTGCGATAAGCAGTTAACATTTCCCCGATTAAGAACTCGCAATCTGATTGGCTGTCCCAACACTGCGACAGAAATCATGTATAAGTCATTGCGCATAATTAGATCACATGATTCAGTTAAACCGGGCACTTCCAAATTGGTTATAGCAGCGGGAAGAAAGAGGTACGAATTCTGGACACCTGCTTAGGAGGATGACATTACTAGATTTCAGAGCTTTTAATTGGATCATTACCATTCATCTATTAATGAAATGTCTGAGCAATGTTTGGAAGGGATTTTACACATAAAAAATCAACTGTTAGTGAATGATAATAATGTAAAATTATATCTGTGATTTTAATGAGTTATGACCAAAAAGCATCCATAAAAACTTGAAATCAAGCCATCTTTCTGCTTAGAAATGCTCCAAAAGTGATGTTGATTTTTTTTCATTATTTATTTTCAAATTAAGCTAATTTTTGAACAGGGAGTCCTAGTGGTCTCTTTAACATTGATAATGAACAAAAACAGTTATGCTGATGTATATAGTCTTTCGCCAACATATGACTTTCACTTTTATGAATGAATTATTTAACTTATAACTGTGTGAAAACTATGGGATACTTAAAAGTCAACAATAGGTGTGATGTTACCTCCTATTGACAGTTTTCTTAATATTAACCCAAAGCATTAATTATAAACAGATTAATTCACACCTTAGAGTTAACATGAGTTTAACAGGTGTATAGGTACAATGGATTTTTCATGCAGTTCCCTGCTGTAAAATTAAGATTGAATGTCTCTGTCATTGATACATTTTCGCATTTGGGGCTAGCAAATTTTGTCCTCACTTTCGATTCCACAGGCTGTTTTTACTGAATCACCCTATATTATTTTGAAGAATTTTGCAACCATTAATGAAATTCTCACTTAATTAATTTTATTGGTTATGTTTTGCGCATTTTGCAATCTATTATCCTTCACTTCTATTGCACCTTTATGATAAAGGTTGATGGGCTGATTGTATGTTTAATTGTTTTTCATGCTCAATATTTCTTTCAAATGGTGCTTTTGTTTTATGATCAAATATAAGTATTTTCTTACCATCATCTGGATCTTTTGTGCTGACAGTTTTATCCTTAGGGGTGTCTTTGTATTCAGTAGTGTCTTCCTCATTAGCCCAATTTGAACTATCATCATAGTTATCCTCATTATCGCCTACATCAGCACTATCGAGGGTTATTGAATCTTCTGTTTCAATCTTAATTACAACACTGTCTAATTTTTTGTGCTGCTTTGAGCTTGAAGCAGTTTCATCATCCAAACTTCTTTTTCGTGTTTTTTTACCTAAAAATGCAAAACTTCCTACTTATCATATACTCTTAAGTTCTCATATTTAAATATTTCGATAGCATGAATGAAAAATAGAGATTGAATAATCAGATGATTAGAGAATTCAACCAAATATTTTGACAAGTAACGCAATAACATAATAAACAAATAATACATGTACCTTGTAATTTTTGGGGGCTAGTGTTGAAAGACGATAATGGTGTAATATCTCTAGGAGGTTCCTCACATATAACACCATCCTCTAATAATGAAAATGTTTGACTTGGTTCATAATGTGAGCCTCCATCAATTTCATATCCTAGTGGTTGCGACTCTGCTGACTTGAAGACTGTCCTGTGCATTTTCACGATAATATCCTTAGCAATGTCTTCACCTTGCGAAATACAAATGATGCCATCGATCTCAAGGGATTTACAAAATGAGAGCTGTTGAGTACACAGCTTGAGAACAGCATCTTGGATCGTCTGTGTGAGTACTTGGCTTGATGAACTCATAGTTTGCAGTACCTGAAATATGCCAAAAAATTGGAATGTGTTGCATAAATGTTTGTTTTTCAGAATTTGATGGTTGCAGTGATAGTTTTTATGCTTTTTACTTACATACATAACGTATATGTGGTATATGTGTGTAATTTGTACTTTCTTTTGAATACGATGATATAGATTTCATAACGTATACCTACATTTAGTTCCCTTTAGCTCCAAAATAATGGAAAGGAAGGGAATACTTCCCGATCCTCTTATGAAATCTAGCGGTTCGTTCAGTGCAATGCAATATATCACATTCCAATTTTTTGATTTCACAAAATGCTCTAAATCTCGGAATTATGATTGTTTCACAGATAAAATACACAATGCAATTGATAAGAACATGAAATTACTATCATATTGCATCAGATATTTCCTTATTTGTCTTCACATGACGTTCGTTACGACAAAAAGATTTATTTGTGGCGTGTCACAGCTCTCTAAATTGAAGGTAACCTAATTGAAAAAGTTGGGACAAAAGAATTTGTCTTTTGTTTGATAATAAGCTGGGTATGTATTTAGGATAAATATTGAGAGAATGCATACCAATTGAGAGATTCTTTTTCAGACTTCGATATATAACTCAATGCCAGTGCATTTCGATAAATTGGACTCCAGATGTTAAATCAATTAATTTGGTTGTGTCAGTGTCAATGAATGGTTCATGACAGAATCTTACTCGAGTCTCTAGCTTACAGCTAGACGAAACTTCATTGATTTCGTATGTACTGTGCTACACGCACCTACACGCACCTAGAACTCATTTTTAATAAATTTTATAAATATTTTTAAGAATATTAATCATATTTAGGATGAAGCGTTGCTTGTCTGGATTTAGATATTTCAAAATTTCATTTCGGAGTTTCAACACATGGTGAAATTTTCTCGCTGTAGCTAAAAATGGCTTCCGGTTCTGGACGTGAATAACATTTGAAATTATTCTCGCTTAAAGAAATGAAATATAACAATAGATTCAGACGGGGATGTGAGCTGGTGTTCTTCAAATCTATACATCAAGGTATATTTCATATTATTATGCCATATTTACTGTGCGTGTGACACAATGATTTACGATATTTATAATACTAAGGCAGCTCAATCTTCCTCCTCAAAGCCGGAATATAGAGAAGGCTTTGGACCGAAGTAAACAGAATCCATGATGAATGTGAATATTGACAACTGTGACATCACATTGTTTATTAGCCAAACCACGAGCAATCCAAGAAATGCAAATGCTTTGCATATAAATTTATTTTTCATACTCTACTGTGGTCTCATGATTGCATATTTTTGGGATGTATTTGTTACGGTATCTGGGTGGTGGGTTTTGGAGGGTTAATGTGATATCATCAGCTTGACCTCTGAACCCTGACTCACTTGCTAGTATTGCTAACTTCCCACTCTGTTCCCTTGCCATATATGGTGAGTCACTTGCCATATATGGCTAAGACACTTGATACATCAGAGAGGGTATATAACTGACATCACGCATTCTAATCAGAGAGTCACTCCATTTCAATCATCGAACGAACATCTCCTGTTGGATCTCTTGGATTGTGTTAGAAACGTTATTTCAATATCTGGATATATAAACCTCGCACAAACACGAACCGAAACGCGCAACATTGGGGGCCAAGCCGAATCAAAGCCAAGCTGTATTGAAAGAGCAACAGTAATTTTGTAAGTTAATTTTGTATTTTGGTCACTTTAATAAGCATTTTTGGAAATCATGGCACAATCAGATCGGGATCTGTCAAGAGCATCAATGAGTGATATTTCAGTAGATTGTGTTGCGACTGTTGTAAAGGCTGCTGCTGTATTAAAAGGAACATGCAACGGCGATGTAGTCACTACTGATGGCAATGTTATTGCAGGTGGTAAGGAAAAAGACACAGAACCAGCTGTAGTAGGGTTAGACTTTATAACATCCCGAAGGGACATTACCTCAGCCGCCAGCTCCTCTTTTTCCCTAATCACATCCTGCAATTCTTCCCTGTAGCGTTCAGCTTTCTGCAGGCGCACCTTATTCAATGCCTCCCCATACATTCCAGTATAATCCAAAGTTAATTAGATTTGATGTATTTATATCAAGAATATCAACCACTGTTTGATGCGAGATTTTCAGTGTCAGTTAAAATTAAAACATATGTTATGATAACGGTTAGGTAAAATTGTTGTTATATAATACTAAAAATACATGTACAGTCAAGCAGTTAATTACTAATCATATTATTAGATATTAAGATTAATTATCAATTAATTTTTTGAAGTATTGAATTTATTATGTCAATTAAGAATATGGTTATTGAGATTTTAAATATTATAGTATTATTGTAAATAACTGTGTATTCATACTGTTATACAAGGGAATATCTTGTCTACTCCAGAAATCCAAAATAAGGGCTCTGCCAAAGCATTGCAGAAGTGATTTCTTGAGTAGGCTAGTTTAATAACCTAAAAACCGACCAGTGGAAATATTTATCAGGCAGCATTTTAGCCTATTTCAACAGATTTGTATATATGTGTATATTATATTATAACTTAGTTATTACAATTAGAATGTTATTTGCATGTTGAAATTAATTATTTCAACTTTTATTCTATTTTGTGTAGAGGTTTAACTATATTGCCATGATATGTTAAATGGAGTATATTCTTTTATCTTTAAGAAATGGTTTGTAAGATTGATGCTGTAAGCTAGAAGTGTATAAATATTTCTATTTACGCCACAAAGATGGCATGGCAGTACATTTTAGTGCCTTTCAGTGTATAAAGATCCACTACCTCAAATATCTCTTAAGTACTGTAATATTCGTGGTTTTCTTTGAAAAGACTACCTTAAGGGTGGTGGTATGGCTTATGAAATTGATTGATTATGAAGTGAAAATATCAAGTAAATCTGTTTTCTTTTGAAGTTAATAATTTTGAATGTGCATGATTAAAATTGTGCAAGATTACTGTAGTTCACACTTATGCATAATATACATAATTAAGATTGTGCAATATTAATGATATTTATATTTATTCATGTTATAACATGTATGTTTATTGGAACTTGTTTCAAAATATAAATAAACTTTGGATTTGAATTCTGATGAAATGCGGTGATGGAGGTTATATGCCCTCTGGTTCAGTTGACAGGAGTCAACAGTGTCTTGTCCGTGGGGGGTAGTGTTACGGTATCTGGGTGGTGGGTTTTGGAGGGTTAATGTGATATCATCAGCTTGACCTCTGAACCCTGACTCACTTGCTAGTATTGCTAACTTCCCACTCTGTTCCCTTGCCATATATGGTGAGTCACTTGCCATATATGGCTAAGACACTTGATACATCAGAGAGGGTATATAACTGACATCACGCATTCTAATCAGAGAGTCACTCCATTTCAATCATCGAACGAACATCTCCTGTTGGATCTCTTGGATTGTGTTAGAAACGTTATTTCAATATCTGGATATATAAACCTCGCACAAACACGAACCGAAACGCACAACATATTGACACTCAATCCAAATGAGGTTGATTTTAGTCAGATCTAATTCTAGCAATGCCCATGGACCTCTTTCCCCATTATGAAATCGTCATTCTTATATTATATCTGATGTAACAATAGCTTCTTCTTTATCCAATTTACTAAAACAATAATTTTTGGATGTAAAATTCATAAATGTAAAAAGTTGTGTTTCTTGTCTGTTTATCATATTAGAATCAAATATATGACCTCATTTTGTATTCTGGCCATTGCCAAAGATGATTTCACAATTTCGGTCTTTTAACAATGAACAGAATAAAATTTTCGGTCATATATTAGGCCATAAATCATAAAATCTTGGTTTTTATTCCTTACTTAGAATATTACAATATAATATAATGTTTCTTTTTAGGCCGAATAATCCAGATGACACGATTCTAGTAGCCTACAGCCAAATTAACAACTCCTACTGTACTGAAATCACAATGGGTTCTACAAATGCGATGTTAACGCAAATCATCCAGGATGCAATTCTGAAACTTTGCACACAGAATATTATATTCCACAAATCGCTTGAAATAGATGGTATAATCTGTATATCACATAGCGAGGAAGATAAAGACATGGTCATCAAAATGCATCGAACAATTGTTAAACCTGAAAATTCAAACACTCATTGGAATGACAGTTCTCTGCATAATATCCATGTTCAAAATACACCATTGGTATATGCTAAATCTCCAAGAATAACTGAGAATGTACAACATTATGAACCGCCAAAAGTTAATTTAATTCCCATCGCAACAGCAGAAATCCCAGGTGGTCAAGTTGCAAACGCTGCAAAGTTAACTATTAAAGGCAATGTAGTTAATGATATTAAAGGTAATTTAGCTATGTAGTTTAAATTTTCGAATAGTCTCATTGAATTAAAACTCTACATTAAATATTTTACTTATTAATTTGTTAAGTGTACTAATCTTACTAAGAGTCTTATATTATTGTTGCAGCTATCTTTCTTCATTTGATCTGATATCATTATTTTGTTTCAACACTTTTCAGAAGAAACTTCAGAAAAAACTCAATTAAAGAAATCTTCAAAAGACAACAAACGACCAATTAGCGAATCTTCTACAACACACTCCCCCAATAAACAGCCACGCCTTGATGATGACCCCCAATCTTCACCAAATGCCCCACCCCCATTAGCAGAGGACAGTATAGTTAATGTGAAGAGAGAGGTTGAGGAAGAGATTACACTTGATTATGACAATGGGGCAGTTGATGGGGCTGAGGAGGGACAAGATGAGCCTAGCTGGCTGGACAGTACTCCTTTGAAAATATCTCCCTCAGGAGCAGCTTCAAGTACAGGTGGGTGGACAACTTGAAGTGTACTAAAACCTGTGCAAATGGGACTTCCTGAATTTGCCAAATATTGTTCCTTGTAGATGGGTATAGAAAGGGTTCATAATCACAGCCAATCTGCAACAGTACCATACGGTACCGTTCTGGAAATGGCACTGTATGGTACAGTGAAATATGATACCATACGGTACTGTAGACTGAAACAGTACCGTACGGTAGCATACTCTTAATGTACCGTACGGTAGCATACTCTTAATGTATCGTACGGTGCCATACTCTTAATGTATAGTACGGTACCATGATTTTAGAGTGTGGATTGGGAGTGTCAATATGACTTTGCTCTTTGCAAAACAGAGGGAAGTTCCATCAGACAGGTTTTATTGCCTTATATAGTGTAATGTCGTAATATGTTTATAAGTGTTAAAAACAAAACGAAATGTTGAGATTTAGGAATTTTCGATGTATTCATACATCTTCATCAGGTTAATTGATTATCATTTTCATACAATTATGACATCACAATATCCAGGTACGGGTAAAATTTAAATTACAATTACAAGAATTAATTATGATCGTGGCCCTCAACATTTTGTTTAGTATAATGTCAATAAACGATATGATAAAAATGATTGTGATATGTCTCAGATGCAAATTCTTTTTAATCATCTTGAACTATGTGGAAGTAATCACTTATTCCAACATATTTAAAAAATAGATTTGATATTGATTATAATTACAAATTCCCAGAATCATTTGGATCTTAATTTTTTAAATAATCAAAACTGGGTTCTGTGTGGGAAATACATAACACACTTACAGAAAACCTTTGGTGCCTTACGAAACCAATGGTCATTTTTTAATTTAAATACATGAGAATTTGGATATATTTAATAATATTTATGTTGAAAATACCCAATACTAATGATTATTTCTGTAACATCCTTGGTCTGTGTTTAATTTCTGTAACAACCTTGGTCTGTGTTTAATATTTTTCATATCTCCCATATATGTCCCCAACATTTGATTTTAGACACTACATGTAGCTATTAAATAATGTTTACGTGTATCTCCTGTCTCCCCAGCATTAGATCAATTGAGCACTGAAAATGAACCCATGACACCCATAAGATCAATTTATACCCTATCGAATACTGAACCATCCAGCCAAGCAGTTACAAAAAGGACTGTAAAAAAACTTGGAAGACCACTGTGTATATTTACAAAAGGAACTTGAATAGGTGTGATGAGCACTGTAGCTGATATTGCAATTGGACATAGAATAAGAGAGAACAGTGGTTCTAGGATCTTAAGCCACCTGTATTTCAAACAACTTTCAAAGCTTATTATGATGAAATTGCTAAACTTGGACGTTAGTATATTGAAGCCCATGAACTGATGTCTATTCCATATGTAGGAAAGATTGTCAGAATTTTACAAACTGCATGTAGTAGGGACACTGACATGGACTCTATTGTCCCATTTCATACATGTTGAAACATTATTGTGCTTAAGAAAGGACTCAAAAGACCACTTAACAAATGGCCTTCATTTTCTGGTTTCAGCGGGAGTGACGTATGGGAATAATTCCATATACGAAGGGGGAACATTTACCGTGTTTGAATCTGAAGTGAAAAATGTGCAGAGGATGCCAGACCAAGAGGATACCATGAAGGCATCATTGAACTGCAAGATTTGCAAGAAAGAATTTGGATATGCACATGTGTTGAAAGTACATATGCGGACTCATACTGGAGAGAAGCCATTTGTTTGCAAGTATTGTAATAAATGTTTCAAAACGAAACAAAATTGTGAAACCCATATAAGGATTCATACTGGCGAGAAACCCTTCCAATGTAACATATGTATGCGCTTGTTTAACCAGCTTGGATCTTTACAACGTCATAAGGAGCTGAAGCATATGCGTAAAAATTCCTTCCCACCAACAATGGTGACTCCAATGGCGCCATCTGTTTAACACAATTATTAGTAAAATGGAATCGCGAGATCTCATTGTCCTGGTTGATTGATCTGTGACTGCATATTGACTTTGACTGTACCATTTTAAATCTCAACTTATTTCAAGATAACGCAGAACTGCCATGACATTTTTGATTGAAAGTGATTTTGTTTTAGCCATTTTTAGGCAATCATATTACCCTTTTTTATCTTGAAAGATTGTGGATATTAAGCATGAAGGTATTTTCTTTAAAGGAATCTACTCTTTCATATACATTTACAGATGTGTGTGATATTTATTTATGCATAACTCAGTGTTGACAGTTACAGTTATAGATGAAGCTATTGTACAACAACTAAAGATATTGTTCAAATGTTGACAGTTCTTGAAAAATGAATTTTTGAAAGGTTAAATCAACATTTTCACCAAAGAAATTTTCATAACTAATGATATGTGGACAATAAACATTATCCCTTGAGTACTCAGATATCCCTTGAGTACTCAGATATCCCTTGAGTACTCAGATTTTTTCCATTCAGAAATAAGTTTCCTTACAGTATGTGTTCACCGATGATTGTTTTTTGGGGGATGTGGGGATTTTGGGGATTTTAACAATATTTTAGGGAACTGCTTGGTCATTTAAAGATGCAGTCTAACTATATATATTGAGTTACTGAAATACTGTGTGAGGGATCATCTCAAAAAATTGCACTGAACTTTAAGTGCGAATCATTGACTGCTGGACCGCTCATTCACCCACCATTGTTTTTGAAACAAACCTTTTTGAAAATACATATTCAAAATAAAAAGTCAGTATCAAGTGAAGGAAATGACCGTTACCTTCCCATTTAAGATGGCCATTACCTTCGCTTAATACTGACCAGTGATATAGAACAATAGTTTAAGTAAATGAAGCGGTGTCACACCATCCACCAATTTAACTGAACTATAAGGACATAGAGTTCAGTGTGAAACACACAAGGTGGACCTTTTTTCCATGTGTTATTTACTCTCAAAATCTGAAGGTCTACAGATAGTTATTGAAAATGAAAATCTGCCAAATAACAATCCACAATTGTAACTTTAAGTTTGTTAATTTATATATTTTTATACTGATATGTTGATTAAACATGTGTGTTTACATGAAAAATATACCATTTAGGGAGCTTCCATGATATAAAAAATGACCATGAAAATTACCATTAATTGTCAAGTCTTGTGCTTAATTGTCAGAATTTGTAACTATGGATTTATTGTTCTTTATTATTAACCTCTTGACTACCTGGAGTAACGTCACCTGAGAAATGACCTTGAAACCCAGAGGGACGAGAAAAAAATGTTCACTAAAATTGCTCTTATTTGAACAATTTTCATGCAATTAACATGAAAATTGTTTTTAAATGTGAAGAAATGATCTCTGCCATCTAATTTTACTAAGTTGAGTATCTAAATTTGTATAAGTATGTAGTAAAATGTCAAAAGGTGGCAAAAATGAAAGATTCTCTGGTTTCAATCACTTTTAGAGCCTGGGATTCAAGAGGTTAAGATGATATTATTGTCAAAAGGACCATGAATGGACCGATTTATATTCAACCACAAGCCTAGTATATGGACCAGTGCTGTAACCTATTTGCTGAACTTCTTTCGTTAAGTACTTGCATAAAATTTAAGTTAAAAGACCAAACTCTTAAATACAGTAAAATCATCAAATGGGGCTCATGTACAAGCCATTCACTTTTAAATGACATGTCTAACTGTACGTATATTGATTGCTTTACATTAAAGATCCAAGTACTGGATTAGTCATATATAAAGGGATAGGTCCCACAATAGATTGCCAAATGTATAATGCTATATACTTACATAGACTATGTGTAACAATGTCATATATTGAATGTACAGTACACATGTATATTATGAAATGTTGTGACAGTATATATTATATCTTATTCTTTGGATCCGTCAGTTTTAAGACCAGTTTTAATTGACTGAGCATTTAAGGAATTGATTTTATGCAACTTTTTGAAATAGCATTTTTTTACAATTAGACGATGGTGGTCCAAATAAAGGATTGTACAAATATATGACTCTCTATTTTCGGCTCAAGTTGTAATTTCATTTATGTGTGGTCTGTAGTTTCAGATTGAATCATTACAAATATCAATTTTGGACCACCCTGTAACTTTTGATAGAAATTTGTGAGAAATGTGCATGTTCTGACTGACTATTATACTGACATGGTATAAATGTAACTTCCATGTATCTTGTTCTGTTATGTGAAATGGAGGGAAAATGATCCATTTAAAACAACAAAACCCAACTGAATATCAGTTACTAGTTTATAACTAGTCATATATGATCTGTTAAGTGAACTTCTGTTTTATATAGTCATGTATATAAATTGGCTTTTAGTATTGTAAGTAGCTCTAATGTTATGTGTCAAAAGGGGTATAACCAGGGGCAGATTCATGGATGGGATGCACCCGCTAATTGTCAACTTAAAAATCATACAAGCTAAAGTTTTTTTGTGTGAGAATTCCAACATACAAAGTTCTGAATCTGCCCTTGATGATACCATATATAGTAATAGCTATTCTCTCGTTAAATCTCTTTTAAAAAGAGGAATGAAGTGTATAATAATTATGATGTACTGAAATTAGATTTCACCCCAGGGGCTGGCTCAAAAATCTGAAGCTGATGTTTAGGCAAGAAAAAGCAAAAACAGGGGGTTTAGAGATGAGCCTCAGTTTAACTTGGCAAAATTTTGGCATTGATTTTTGACTCAGTCCCTATGTATGTACCAGATACATGTATTAGTAGTAATGTTTTTGTTGCAGTATTTTTAGGGTTCTTATGTGTAAAAGTCAAATATAATTTGGCAACCTTTATTTTGCTACCTCCTTAGAGGAGAAACCTACAGGGTGTCCAAAAAATTGAACCGAGACGAGACAGTCATGGAATAACTCAGTGAGTGATATAAGGACAGACATTTTAATTATCATGTGAATGCTTCACTAGATAACTCTGTTGACCTTTACAGAAAAGCTCATTTTTGTACCATCCATTTTCCATCTTTTTAATTCCATACAGTTTACATCAGTCATGATAGAGATCATTTTGAGCATGTCATAATTTCTCAAGAAGCAATTTACCAATTCCTATGAATGTTTAAATGCTAATTGGAAAATGAATTTTTATCATGCGAAAAATTAAGCTTTTTGATGAGAGAAAAAAGAGTAATTTCATTTTCACTTTGGTACAATTTTTCGGACACCCTGTACAACAGTTATAATGACTTTCAGTGGAGGAGTGAATTTAGAGCCTCCATTGAAGTATTATTACGTATTGGATGATAGTACTTTGCTCCAAATCACCCACACAGGCCCATAGCCAGTTTTTGCTAAGGGGGTTCACTTTTCTAGAAACTCCAAGGGGTTCACTTTTGACAAGTTTGACTTGAAATCACTTGAAAAGTGTTCCAATGGTGAAAAACCTCAAAATTTTGAGGGGGGAGCCCGAGCCAAACTCCCCTGACTATGGGCCTGCCACAGTAGAATGAATGCCTCAATTCAATTGAAGCTTTTACCAGAGAGCATACCAGAAACTTCGAAACAGCATTTTTGGCTACCTCCCGAGTGGAGAAACCATATTCAGTTATATTCAGTAAATATCTTTCTATTCATGTATTCAATTTTAATGAAAGAGTAAAAGTTCTACAGGGTTCTAATTTAGGGAGAGGATGGACCAATTGAGCTTATTGGACCCAACCCTTTTTAGGAGAACACATTTTTGACATGAACTTTTAAGGTAAAGAAATTTAAGGCTCTGGTGATATGGTTGAGAGTTGCTGACTTCTGAAATACTGTTAGTCTGAAATAAGCAAATTTTGAGATGTTTAAGAAAAAAATCTGGTTTGTTTGAAGTATATAACAAAAGGGTCACCCCCTCTCCATAGTCTCCAAAGGTCCACCCTCTGTCTAGTACCTGGTAGAGTAAATCGTCCATAATTTCACATTGTAGGTGTTTGTTTGACTGGTTTATATTTGTCACTCACTAAATTTGTGTATACTGCATAGTATTGTGTGAGGTGCTATTTTAGTTAGCAATATAGATTTTTAGATCTTTATTTTTTATGTGCTATATTTACTTATATATGTATACAATACTGAATAAACTTAGAAATCCAAAATAACTGTGTTCTGTAATTCAATGTGTTAAGGTGGCTTAACACCCTCAAATTGATATTCTATTAAATTCTCATGACATGGTTTATGTTTCAAAATCAAACTAAAATAGTCAAATTCAGGACAAAAAACTCCACAAAGTAACAAAGCCCAACATAGTACTGCATTAAAACATAGAAATGGATTCTGATATGAGCTTATTTACAAGGCAGCTAGATAAGTTCCTAATGTTTTTTTCTGGTTTGTATCTTGGAGTGAATGAATAAAATGGGGTTACGCTCATCATTATGGGTCTTGTGCATAAAGATTCCCATTTTCAATATTACAACTCATTTTTGGCTTTTTGAATTTTAGATCAAATCTCAAAAAGTTTTAATCAGTGTGTATATCCCATAATATTGTGGTCGCATAAATTAGGTCATGCTGCAAAATATTGTGTGCAGTGAAACCAATAATTAAAAAATATGCATACTGCTCGAAATGAATATTTTTACTGCACTTCTTCAAAATGCTATATTATTATTGTCTCGTGCTGTTGGGTGTGATCTGTCTGGGCGGGTGCCACACGGGGCATGCTCGCTTAATTACTTGGCAGCTGTTTTGAATTTTCTAATCAAAAGTGTGATTCATAATGTATCGACTATGTGTTTTGTTCATACAGCATCCAACACATAAAGTTGATGTTTCAACCATTTACAGAATTAATTGGCACTTTTCAGTTCAAGCTGCAAAAACTATAAAACCTGGGGAGGCCCTTCCATCATGGTATTGGATGCAAGGGGAAGTGTCCAGCATTGCTGATTCTTTAACACAGGACCCTGCATCACTTAGCAACAGAAGACAACAATCAGAGACATCCAGCTATGAGCACCACCTATCATCCACACAGACATTCAACGACCCTATTATATCATTCAACGAATCAATGAATAAGACGAGTACATCTACAAAACAAGTCAAAGAAAAGAAAAAAGTGTCCTGTCATATTTGTCTGAAACAGTTTGGCAAAAATCAGCACTTGGGCTATCATATGAATATTCATACTGGAGAGAGGCCATTTGTATGTGATATATGCAAGGAGTCTTTTGGACATCCATATAAGCTGTCAAAGCACAAAGCCAAGTTTCATCCTCAGCCTGATTTATAAAAATGAATGATGCAAATAATTTTGCGTAAAATCTAGAGACTTGTAGCCCGGCGTAATTAACACATCTCTTGACTAAAAAAAGGAAAAATCTGAACAAAAGCAAATAATGGTGGTTATAAAAATATGTTACAGATTCTTGATGGTAACATAAAAGTATCAATGCAATAAAATCTTTTGATTTGATGTTATCAATATTGACTTTATTATACAGTATATATATTTGATTTGTCAAAATAAATATACATTTCATAGTCGAATTAAAAAACGTGTTCTTTGAGAGGTCGCTTACTAAAAAGTCCAACATGAGCGTAAATAGGACATTCATTCCCAAATGGAGCTAGAAAATGTTGGTACTTTGAAGTATTTATTTTTCAGTTGGGTGTTCACTTCAGCAGTCATTCAACTGTAGACATGATGTAACCATGATTCATATTCTAATAAAAATGTCATATTTGTTATAATTAGAGAAAAAGTCCATATTTCCATTCAACTATATTCCTTTGATAAAAAGTCCATATTTCCATTCAACTATATTCCTTTGATAAAAAGTCCATATTTCCATTCAACTATATTCCTTTGATAAAAGAAGTTTCTATGTGCCATGATGCAGTCTCTATTTTCCATTGAATAGTTTCTATTCGCCACATGTCTCTATTTGCCATGTTTCTGCTTTTTTAACAAGGACCTCTTCAATGCCATCTGAAAACACATGCAAATGAAATACATTATTATTGTAAGTTGTATTGTAATTATGAGACCAAAGTGTTCCTTTTCATTCCAAATATAATATTTCAAATAGGATAAAATGGAATTTAATTAGCCCCTTTACTATACCCGAATTGACAAAAAAGAAGTCCCAGAATTTTTCATACTTATAATGTTGGCAAAATGCATCATATTTTCCAAATCAATTAACATGTGTGTTATGGGTCTTACTTAACGTTTTTATATTTTAACCTCACATATATTATATATATATTGGCAAACACTGAATTATGCTCAGGTAGCCATCCAAATTATTATGCACCTGTTTATCCTGATACGATCTATGATTCTTTGTCTTTCTCACTTTATGCTTCACCATTTCGAACGGTTTGTTCTTCCGTTTTTCCCGATTTGTTTGCCCGATATCCTCTCGTTTATACCTCGCTCCAAACTTCACAGTGTCATCTCTACCAGCCTGAAAAGTTATGTTTAATATATCAAATACCAAATATAGCGAGGCAAGGATGAGGCAGACGAGACTTTTTTAACATCCTTTGAGAAATATTCCCCGAGTAATGACAAGTTGTAAATCAATTGTATAACTTTTATTAATTTTTAATCTTAAATCATCAATTTTTGATTCAATTGTGAACAATCTCATTATGTAAGGATTATCATCATGCTCTTCCATCGTTCTTCACTTTTTTCTTCCTCGCTAAGTCACTGCCTACTTAGGACCCTTAACAAACACTTCCTTAGTCACAATAATAATTTGCAGTCATAGAGATAACTAATATACCTATTACAGTACATAAATGGCAGCAGGAGGCTCAAGAATGTTTGACATGTTGGGACATCAAGGGAGTTATTGAGTAAACTATTTTCATGGGACATGAAGGGACAAGTTTTCTGACAAAATAGCGCTATATTTCAGACATCATCGGACAAAATGGGACAACATGGGACATGATGCCCGGGGGACAAGAGCGGACAAGTTGGGAGAAAACGGACAAAGTCGAACATTGTCCCATTGGTGTACGGCTAGCTTTACTTACCATAAGACATGTACCTAACTGACATCATTTATTTACATGAACATGTTTAAGCGATTTCCACTAATATGTGGTGAGAATTTAAATTCATCCAATATGATGATCTACTTACCATAACTGTTTCTAGCCTTGATTCTTTGTCATGCTTCCTCTTCTTATGCACTCTCTCAATATCATCTAGTGATACAATCTCTCCACTGAAAATACATGAATAACATGACTGCCCATTGACAAATATATATTAATTTGACTGTACAGTAAAACCTGCATAAATGGAACACATTTGGTACCTCTAAAAAGTGTACCACTTGGGAGGTGTTCCACTTACAGAAGTTCATTTAAGTCAATAGGTTGAGGAGCTTTTGAAAAGCACACTTATGGAGGTGTTCCACTTATAGATGTTTTCCACTTTACTGACTGTACTTGTGAAAGGAGGTAGTTATCATTCAAATCAGCCTATATAACCGTGTTATATTGCGTTACAGTAAACCCAGTCTTAGTGAACACCTTTCTCTACTGAACACCTGTGTTTAGTGAACAACACTCCATTATTTTACATTGACTACTGTATAAAATCCCCTCTCTGTAGTGAACACCTACCTACAGTAAACACATTTTTGTTACTCCAGAGGTGTTCAATATATACAGGTTTTACTGTATTAAGATTTAATTTTTTTGACAGTTGCAAGTACGATATTTACATTTCATATATTTATTTCAAATAACAAAACTTAAAACAATTTAGTCATTAGAGCAATCCTGTTGAGTTGATCAACTATAACTGAAAAATAACCATGATTTTAAATAGTTTTTTAGTACAGATGAGGACACAAGGTTTAAAAGACACTACTCAACATAGGAGACACATATTCAATAAGAGACACATATTCAACATAAGAGACGCATATTCAACATGATGCCTCAGTCATATTTAATGTATGGCAGCCATGGCTTCCCAAAAATGAGGGAATTATGCAGCATAAGATATAGGGATGAGCAGTCTGATGTAGATTCTCTATATTGATTTTGTGAAGCGTAATGGCTGACATACACCCACCATAGAGCAAATGTGACAGATTTTCAACATATCATACTGTACCTTGACTTAGGTTTTGCAATATCATACTGTACCTTGACTTAGGTTTTGCAATATCATACTGTACCTTGACTTAGGTTTTGCAATATCATACTGTACCTTGACTTAGGTTTTGCATCTATATCTATTACATCAGACTTCCTTTTACTGCCCTTCCCATGTCTGAACTTTGAATCCTGCATCTGTTTTGATAACTGAGCTGCGGAGACTTTCTGAAACTCATCCTGTGAGAGGATACGCGATTCCACTATCTCCCGAGCTTTACTGATCTTTTCCTCTGGCGCCATACCCTCACATGGGTCAACTGCATTCTGCAAGTATGGGTAATGTTGATGTTTCATTCGTCAACACTCACAAGCATAAGATAAAGAAGGGATATGATAAATGTAAATGTGGTTACTTGGGATTCATTAATGGGAAAATTGGTTATTGGAGGAACAAAGCCATTTTTTATATTTTAGGCTTTTAGGCTCAAACCTTGTTTCAACATTCAACAATTTTAACACACTTTTAGGGAAACATTCACAGATAATTGATCAAAAACATGAAGTTCACTTATTCTGTCACCCTCATCCTTAGAGTTCACTTACCTCATTCTCATAGTTCACTTCCAGTTTAACCTCATCTCCCTCATCTTCAGAGCTCGCTAACCACATCTCTCCATTCCCTTTCATCCTCATTGTTTCACTTACCTCAACCTCCTCATCTTCAGTATTCATTTACCTTATCACCATCATCCTCATAGTTCCCTTATCACCCCCTCATCCTTATATCTTTCATATCTCACTTACCTCGTCCAACTCATCCTCAGAGTGAGAAACATCAATCCAACTTCCATCATCGCTGTCATCGGAATCCTCACTACAAGATTCCCAACCATCATCTGTAAGTAGAAGAACAATGACAATATGGTTAATGAGGGCCATTATAAAAACTTTTTGTTTGCCCCGAGTCCCTTGATTTTTGGTTACTATGGCAACCATTACTAATTAAACATCTACTTTTTACTAAATATATTTTACTGAACTAAGAAGTCAATCAATGTTGCACATTCTATGAAAATTCCAAAAGAATATATTTTGAAAATTAAAGAAATCAGAGATATACATGTATTATGAGAACTTTATGATCAGCCCTCAGATAATAGTTCAGGTTAAAGGTGTCTTATTCCTTTAAAAATAGTGGAAATGGTTAATTAATCAAAAAATATCTCCTGGATTTTACCCATGTTCTGAAATAATCTTGCACCAATGTTTTAAGTGGTGGGGTATTCTATGATTTTTAACAGATTTCACCATACCGTACACTTATTCATTTAGTGTTTTAATAGTTTTCTCATGAATAATTTCTCATGAAAAATTATCTTGCAAATTTGTTGAAATTTCTACCAGAAATCACCTCCTTCCCCTCCACACCTATCCCTTTTCCAACTTACAGCCGTGTATCTGTGTTGGAGATAATTATGAGAAAAGGGTGAATATATTCCTTCACCATTAAATGTTGATACAATTAAATATAAGAAGGGATTACCTATAGAATATTTTATTGTTTGAACTAAGTGCAGGTAATCCCTTCAAAGGAGCTTGATGAATCTATAATTGTGTATTAATATAACGAGCATTAAACAGTATCAGGATGAACAGGTTGTGATTAAATCCTATCTTTGGTTTTATGCAGCATCTTTCAGAGAATTATTTCCCCGATAGTGATCAATTTACATCACTATTTTGATTATATCCGCATTGCTTCTTCATTGCTTTACAAGGTTAATTCCAAGAGGAATGAGTAAGTGTCAATGCAATAAATACAACATACAATGTTATTGTAAGTTTGTAGTTGCCATGTATTGTATATGAACAAATATGATGGCAGGTATGAAAGATCATTGTCAAATCTTGTTATCATACAGTTCTGGTTTGCTATAGTTCAACAAACTGATATTTTGATCACTGCTAGGCCTAATAAAGTAAAAATGTTTTTCTCTTGCCAATATAAAATAAAAATCTGAATGATTATACAGGGTGACACAAGACATTTCATGTACATGTAGATTCCATCATAAATGTACAAGGCATTAACATGCAAAATGTCACCACCTGCCATTTGTTACAGCCACCAAACCAAAGTCATCACCATCAATCTACCTTTAGTAATAGAAGAGAAAAGTCCGAAAGCTCTTTGGAAATATAAACACTTCCGGTAAATATTCTGACATTTATCCTTCAAACTGTGACATTTATGCTTATATTTCGACATATATATGATTCTTACATACCAATACGATCAAAAAGGTTACAAACATACCAAATGAAAGGTGATTTCCTGGTCAAACTTGCAAAAGTTGGTCCAAACTCACACTCGATCCCTCCACTCCCTCCAATACGCATGTGCAGCGATGTTAAAAATAAGGCGGTGACTAGAGAGCCTACATTTTAAGGTTCTTTAGCACTTCGGCCAAAGAGCCTTAAACTTTATGCATGTACAAGCCACTCTAGTATATTTCAATGGTATAGAGATAATATGTTATGAAACATCAGATTTTGGATTATATGTACAGATAAAAGAAAATTGTTTCTACAGTATAATGGTAAGGATATTTCATGTGCAACTTGGATTAGAGCATTTAAGTGCAAAGTAGATACCAAACTCTTAATTATTCATTGGAAAACATTACACAACGTATATCCATGTTATGAGATTTTAAATGGTTTTAGAATTAGAGATATTTCTTTTTAAAATTGTAATGTAATTGACAATGTTAAACATAATTTTTATGAGTGTACAAAAATAAGGGATATATGGAAATTTTTGGATAATATCACTTTTGAACAAATTATAGGAATAAATAAGTATAAGAATTATAAAGAAGTTTTAATAGCCAGGAGGGAAATACAAATTTTCAATAGAGACAAAACTGGAAGTATACATGCATATTTTGAAAATGAAAAACTGTACAGAAATTAAACAATGTAACTGGGTCTATGTATAATTATATTATTTATATATGTTTTATTATTGAAATATAGATTTTACAAAAAGAAAACACACTCTAGTTTTGTGGTTATGGCGTTCGCCTAGTACTCCCACGGCGCAGGTTCGATTCCATGTTGGTACAATTTTTTTCATTATGAAGTTTGTTCTCTGAGGTCCGGATATTATGTACACAATTTTTTAAAAATTCATGGGCTCGCTCCAACGCTCAACCATCCATGTTTAATGAAATTAATCACTTGTATTGGCTTTACTATATTCACAAGATTACAGAATACGGGGAATCCCATTTGAAGGTGGCAAAAAGTATGAAGGAGACTTTGGGATGAAGAAAATGATCTTGTTAAATTCTAGATACAGCACATCATGATGCAGTTTATCGGGAATGTAGGGACATCAGCCCGGGGACATCAGAGAGAATACACTTCCAAATCTATTGCATATTAGATTCCTATGCCGATTTTTTAGGATTTTCAAATGACAAGAGGCACAAAATATTTTTTAAATTTTTTGCAAAAACTTCCCTCCTTCATTTGTATCAACGTTTTTTAGGCTAGCCTCCAATTGGGCATCACTAAATGTGACCTCAACACCATTCTCCCAAGGGCCTATTCTAAATATCAAAATCGTTACTGATTACTAGTAGTAAAATTGAACAAGTATATGACTGCTCCAAGTTGCAGCACCACGAAGGTTACTGAACCTTTAAAAAGCCAAATTTAGAATGAGGATTGAAAAGGTCGTAAGAACTTTTTTCGGTAGACCGGAAGTAAATTTACGAGTCGAGTAAAAAGTGATAATGTTCTTTTTATGAAGTGGGGAAGTCAAAACAGTTCTTATAGGAAGTCAAAGTAAGCATTCAAAGACCATTTAGAAGCATTTAAAATCAAATCAACGGCAAAATTGAAATGACTAAAAACTTTGTGTTTCCTTCTTCGTTTTCTTCGCGGACCTCAGAGAAGACACTTCCGGTTTAATAATCGGTGAGTTTATCGATCAAAAAATATATTTTTATGAATATCTCCGGTATCTGCTAAAATATATAGTATGTTAATTTGTGTTGATTGTTAAATTACAAAACAGGTTGAGTAAAAATATGTCAAAATCGTTTGATCTCGTCCCAGAAGCAATATTTTGTCATTTCCGTCACTTAGAATTCCTTTAGGCTGGCTCTCTAGCAAAATTGGCAATCAAAATGCTAAAGAGCCTTAAAATTTAAGGCTTTCTAGCCAAAATGCCAAAGAACCTTAAAATTTAAGGCTCTTTAGCCAAATGGGTTACCAAAATGCTAAAGAGCCTAAAATTTTAGGCTCTCCAGTCACGGTCTTATTTTTTACATCGGGCTGCGCATGCGTATCGGAGAGAGTGGATGGATCGGTAAATCTTGTGACAAACAGCTTACGAACTTCTCTTATATTACTAAGGGTAGAGTATACCATTGATAGTGCTGACTGTGCACCAAACACCATTTGTTTCAGACACCAACCACCAAACACTGTCCACAAAAAGTTGGAGACTATAACAATATGTTATATATAAAATAAATATATTACAATATGTTATATATAAAAACTTGTTTCAAATATAGATGACTGAATTTTTTTGTCACCCTGTACATAATGTTTTCCGTATAACAACAAAACTGTGATAATTGACCAACATAAATAATCAAAACAAACAAATATAATTTCTAATAGATACAAAGTAAACAAAATCTTCACTAATGAACAACAACGACACAATATTGATGAATCGAAAGAAAATTCATAGTTTATTATTCATATAGTGTTATAATCTGCAACTTGGTATATACAATTACTGTATTATAACAATGCATTTGGGATTAACGGATATATGCTACAGTCAAAAATGTATAAATAGTATACTCAAACAATGTACTTAGATTAAACAAACCATTTGGATTAAAGGATATACTGTTTCAGTCAAAACTATATAAATAGTACACAAAAACAATGTATTTAGATTAAATAAATGCACTTGGATCAAAGTATATAATGCTTCTCTCAAAACCATATAAATAGAATATCAAAACAATGCATTTGGATTAAAGAACATATGCTACCATCGAAACTGAAGACCACTATACATATGAGACACAGTAATGCAGACAAACTGGGACTGATGGGGAACTGTTCCCTTAGACTACTATTTACACTATGGCTCTGGACAATCCTGGCAGTTCAAGGTAAGGGAAAACAGTCAATCCTATAGGGGTTGGCTCAAAACACTTGATTTGCATCCAAATAAATGGAATGAATTTGGTGAAAAACAACATTTATTGGGCATGTACTAAATCACTGGATTTTGCACATACTTATACCCCTGTGATGTGGTATAACATTTTATTTTTTTTAAATGTCAAGTTAACTTTGAGGGATAATTAAATTTGAAAATTGTTTTAAATAGATGAAATCTAAGTTCATTGAAAAAATTCCTATTTCTCTATGACCAGTGCCGAGTGCTGTTTGTGATCATCTGAACCATATGGCTGTAATAGAGTAGGGTGACATCTTTTAATCATGCAAAAACTTATTATTGCCACATGAACATTTCAGGTACCTATGGGTCAAATGTTAATGGTCAAAAGGTCAAATGTCCTAGAACCTCCAAGTCAAGCAATGGAATATGTTACGCTATGGTGACATCACACTGTGCCAATTACAGCACAGCGCACTTTGCTTGCAATGGACTGAGGGGCGATGGGATAGAGAACCCTCATCTGTCATCTATCTCTAACAACACTCTCGACTCGCTCCTAATTCAGGAATACAATGGTGGCAAAAGGTATGTATATACAGGGTGTCATAATGGTGGGAAACATATGCCCATACAGGGTGTCCCACAAATATTGATAATAGATTGATTGGTTCATGAAAACACAATAAAATTCTGCACTAAGAGCTGATGTGAAAAAGTCAGTCCACCCCAGTGGTGATCAAACCCGTCCTCTAAAATTTCAAATGGTAGAAAACAAGAAGGGACATCCTTAAATATCATTTTTATTTTGTTTCCCCATGAACGACCAAACAGTTCAAAATGTCCTCATACTTATATGTGTATACATCAATTCCTTTGACTGCTTCGTGGGCAATTATTTCTCAACTCAAGTAAAAATCTGACGTTAAGATGATCTGCATTTTAAGATTCTATTCATTTGATGGCAAACTGGAGGAAGTTAGAGATGATACAGTGTTCTGGGTTGCTAGGAGAGATGACAACAACAATACAGGTTGCTATGTGATACAAGTCAACACAGGGAGTCTTATTAAACAAGAATGCAGCGAGGAAAACAACTTTATTTGTGCATTAGGTATTTTATCCAAAATGTTTCTTACTATTCAGTGATAACATTTACAATTCCCAAAATTAAGAATCAAACAAGATCTTTCAAACATACGTGGCCTGTGCTAGTCTTCCAAAAATCTACCATCCTACACTTGGGTACACATTGCACTTTCACAAGATAATATTCTATGGCCCTCAGAGCCTCATAGCTATCACCTGTGAAAGTGCTACTGCATTAGGTATTCACCTCAACAAAATGAAATATTTGCACAATATAATCAAATACATGTTGTCAAGCTATAAGTCAGTTAATGCTCCCGTACCTCCATTTTGTGTTGTAGAAACTAGAGGACCATGGATGAACACATTGTATATGGACCCAACCTTTGAACATGAATTCATCTGCCCTGGTACACCTAAATCAGCATACAAGCTTACCAGAATCTCCACACTGAAATTCCACACAAGGGAACCTATTCTTATGAAAGAACCAGACTATGATGGGAATCTAGAGACTGAGAACAGCACTGCATTTAGTGGAAATCTAGAAACTAATTCAACAACAGTGACATCGAAAGAAACAAAAGAGATTTCTTCAACAGAAGCAACGCCATCTATAATGAACCATAATACAGTACAAAACACTACAATATTAACCTTGAAAGACAACAGGACTCAAAATATATCTGACCCCAAAGAGAACAACATTAATAAGATGGAGATCATAGTCCTACATCCAATTAAAGGAATTTTTGTCCATAACACAGACTACCACAGAGCCAAACGGAGGCATTATGAGCCAACAGAGGCCAAGCAAGCAGCTTTTGTGGGTTTTCCACCAGTTTGTGCTATGGTGATATTCCTGGTTGTTATTGTGCTTCTTGATCTTCCGAAAATCAAGCATGATCTGATAAATGGGTCAAAATAAGGGACATGGGGTCTACATTTTGACACGGGATATCATTAGTGGGTCAAAATAAGGGACATTGGGTCTACATTTTGACATGGGATATAATTAGTGGGTCAAAATAAGGGACATGGGGTCGACGTTTTGACACGGGATATCACTAGTGGGTCAAAATAAGACTCATGGGTATATCATGTCTCATACTTTGCTCCATGCTTAGTAAATGGTTAGTTTGCCATATATTTGAAGAAAAGTACTTTTATATCAATTCCAGTTATGAGAGATATTCCAGTTGATTGGTTAGTACTGATACGTAGAAAAGATGTAGATTAATAATATAGGCCTTATAGAAAACCTAAAACCCTCTGTTCCACATTTAAGGGCATAGTCAAGATGCAATATAGGTGAGGCAAATATAATTGAAAGGTGAGGCAAAACCAAAACCAAAGAGGACATTTTTGTACTTCTAATATGTGACATAAATATCACAGTAAGTTCCAGTCAAGGAACTGTCTAAAGCATATTTTTCTGTAAAATTTTAGTGCAGCATTTGCCTCGCCTGCCTACACCTAACTATGCCCATGGCATCAATAATTGTGGAGAAATAATTTAATATTACATATCGAAATGTTGTTTGCCTTTGTTCTATTATTTATATACATGTACGGTATGTCCATATTGAACATCTTTAGTATTCTAGTATTCATATTGTTTAAAATAGATGGCATGCTAGGGCAGTAGAAATAAAGGATTGGTTAGTTAAGCTATTTAATTGTTGATGTTTAAAAATACAATTGTCAGAGAGGAAGACCCCTCATTGGATATTAAGGAAATTACAATACTAATTCTTTTAATTCCCTTCCCTTCTCCCCTACCCCTGGGACAATCAAGGAGAGAAGATTATTACAAAATTTCACTCACATGTTAAAATATCATGTTTATTGCGTATGGTACTTTTGCGTGAATACTCTACAACTCCAAATAATTAACTCGGAATGTCATTTTGATTTTAGTAATCGTGATACCTAGCTAGGTCACAGTGTTCTTATGTCATGTTTACTATCCATTATCACGATCTAATAAAAGCTGAACTCATGAAGAAAGTATTACCCAAATAAAATGTAATATATACGGCATGTCTTTTCACAAACTTTTTGAGAGGAAATTGACAATTGTATGTAACAAATATGTTTATGCTATCTTAAATGAGTAGTGAAAACAAATATTTCCTCTATTTGAAAAGTATAACCTATACCCATTGATTACAGCTTTTCACATATTGTCACACATTTCTGGGGTTTTAATATTTTAATCTAAGATCTAATTTCAAGTAAATTGATTCTCTATTGGATCTGTGCCACTAAGTATTCTCACACATTTCAGGGGTTTTGACAAGAAACATTATTTGGGTATAACTTTTCCTTTAATGCTGATTATAATCATACATTTTCACTTTTCTGTTTAGGAAAAGATTCATCAGTCACACCGGAATAGCCTGACAACGGTAAAGTCAGATGCCGTTGTCACAAATGGCGGACATAACGTTCAATGACAACGGAATCTGAATTTGGGATAATTTACAAAGATAACAACAGCATATGGTAAATTATTTAAAATTCAGATTCCGTTATCATTGGCGATATCGAAGACGCCATATTGTGGCGATTCACGACCCACTTTGATCAAAATTGGGATTTCATATGATATATCATCACAAGAGCTTAATACTCGTACATGCACAAAATTAGTGACAATAAAGTCCCATGAAAGAGGACCAAGTGATTGAAGAGTTGAAGTGACGGTTATGTTCACCATTTGTGACAACGGTATCTGACTTTACCATTGTCAGGCTATTCCAGTGTGATCAGTGGACATGTGAAAATTATGTGACTATTTCACCCAAGTCCCATAAGCTTACAGCTCCATGTGCTTTTTCAACAATGAATACATTTTTAGACTAAAAAGGCAGCTCCATGAAATAGCAGATCTCACTGAACAAAATCGTATATATATCGAATTGCTCAAAGCACAAACCAGTTCAAGAGAGAGATTGACAGCTTTCTGAAGGATGAGATGTTCATGTATAGAACAATGATGACTGATGAAACATAGGGCCCACAGGGGATTAAATAGGACTATCCTCTTTCCAGAACCATTGGTAATCAGGTAATCATCAATCTGAACATTTCATGATAAAAAATAAAAATGACCAGGTAGTATGAATTTTGGCAAAATTTAAATTGCTGCCATTTTGAATTGAGTGGCCATCTGAAATTCCTTCTCAAGCCAAGGAGGATTGGCTCCCAGGTTTCCAACAATGAAAACATCGAAATGTCATTATTTTCTGAAATTAAAACTAACTTTAAATTCAATATAAACAGTTCAAAAGATTCAAGCCAATATCTCAATCATTTCTTGTGAGTTTTGGAATTTTTCGTTAGGAAATAAGACCAAAATTAAAGATTCAAATTTTGAAGTGAACAAAATGGCGGCTGTTTGAATTTGAATTTTGTATCACGACATGCCCATATATGGGACAGGATATTGATGTTGCACTCTGGGAGCAAATCCTATGCCCACACAGTCCAAAATCTATCAACTGGTATTTGGATTTTCATCTCAATAGAAAGAGGAGGGAAAACCCCATGATTCAATTACCCAAATGCGAGTAGGTAGTTACCAGTTTCACCACCAGGTGGCTGATTCGGGTCAATTAACATGGCAGGTATATAAGAAAGTTCCCTTAAACTTCAATATTATCAATTTAAGAGGCTCAATTTTCATATAACCCTTATGCGTCTGATACTTATACTAATGAAAATATGTCCAGTAAAGCAAAATATTATCTGTCTACTAAAAGAAAATATATTTCATTTTTTGTGATTTTATAGCATGGGGTCTATGGGGAATCTCCCCGAGCTAGAAGTTACATTTTCAAAGAAAATTAATTTTTCAAAGTTGATAAACACTTTTTAAAACCATATTTCTAGATGTAATTTTACATGTAGATTTCAAATATGATATTACTTTGACTGAATTTTTAATTTTTAATGACGTAAATCCATATTATTTCTACTCGCATCTGGGTTATTGATGACATACGATTTCCTCCTTCGCGCACCTTCTTTAAGTATATTTGTTTGCCCTCCATCTTGGTTTTCAAAGTTTTCAAATAGACTAGATGCGAGTAGAAATAATCTTGATTTACGTCATTAAATATTCAAAATTCAGTCAAAGTGATGTCATATTTGAAATCTACATGTAAAAGTACATCTAAAAATATGGTTTCGAAAGTTGTTTATCAACTATGAAATTTTGTTTTTTTTGAAAATGTGACTTCTTGTTCGGGTTGATTCCCCATAGAGCCCATGTTACAAAATCACAAAAAGTGAAATATTTTTTCTTGTATTGGACAGATAACATTTTCGTTTACTGGACATATTTTAATTTGCATAACTATTAGATACATAAGGGTTATATGAAAATTGAACCACTAAAACAGATGTAATTTAAGTTAAAGGGAACTTTCTCCTATACTCGCCATGCTATCTGACCCGAACGAGCCACCTGGTGGTGAAACTGGTAACTACCTACTCGCATCTGCGTTATTGACCTAGTTTTAAACCAATCAACGATCGACTCGCTAAACCAATCAGCAACGATGTCATCTCAATACAGATTTACATTATAAGCGTATGTCATCTTTGAACCTTGGGGTTTCTCCCCCTCTTCTCAATAGATGAATGGTGCCATAAATGGAGAGACGGACAGATGACTTCTCTATATCCCTCACAAACTACGTTCACTGGGACAAAAACTATTAGGAAATAATTAAGGAGATAAAAAAGTTGATGAAGTGATATATTCATTTTGATTGCTCAAATAGCCGTCCTTTAATTAACAATAAACTGGTCTTTATTCTGAATTCATTTCAGACGGGAAGTAAAAAAGAAGTATATATCACTATGAGTCTAATTAACTATGCATGAATGCAATTACGAAAATGATTCTCCAAACATTAAGATCTAAAACCATCATTTATCAACATCACGCTAATGAAGACGTCTGTATCAACAACAAAGTGTTGGTATTGAATATTTTTAATGGTTTAATACAATGTCACCTTCGTGCGTTAGAGTAGTCATCAACTGAACACTTATCTCTTCTTAACAGCATAATATAGGCATCAATCATAAAGTTCTATTATATTAACTGATAAAAGAAATGTCAAGTAAGATCTTGGTCGTGAAAGTAAGAGATAAAATCCTCGTTCCGATGCACGTATAACGCTAATCATAATGCTAAACTTGTGATAGATACAACATAAAATAGGTCATTATGGTATTGTTATTAATGTTCGTTTAATAAGAATCGGAGAAAAGGCGAGATCAAAACATACACAATCAAACTGAAACAAACAAACAAATAAATAAACAAACAAACAAGCAAACAAACAAACAAAGCATGGAATATGGTCTAGAAACAAACAAAGCATGGAATATGGTCAAGAAACCTAGCCTATATTTAACTCAAAAATCATAAGATCTGTAGAAAATTGTAATATTTTCCTGCGTATGTAGGAAAAACGTAAAATATCTTGATAGGCAATCTTCTAAAGGCTCATCAACTTTAATGTTTGTTTCAGGCTTTTATAGTAAGTTACCCATAAAACAGGTTCATAATAGTACTCATTTTGGTTTAATTACCATTATATGCAGATAACGTAATAAATACTATGCATGATAATAGTACAATAACGTCATTTCAAAGGGCAATATACTGATATATTGGACCAAGAGCCGAAGGCCCATTGGTCTAATATTTCACTATTTTGCCTGTGTGTCGGGGAACATTGCCGGGCTATTATATCCATTATTGGCCCGCTTCTATGACATCATTGCTCAGGTCAATGTAGTAAAATATAAGCCTTCTAATACTAATACCCCTAGAACAGGCCCGGTAAGGTGGTAATAATGAAATTAAATGAATAATGCTGAAATAAATATCAACGAGATAAACAAAACAACCATATACCATATTAAGCCCATCAAGAATGAAAAACAACTAATACCAACAGTAAATAAATTACCTAATCCTCCTTCTGGTTTTAACAGCACATAAAACAAACAGTTATGACAAACAACAATGAAACAGCCATTTGGGATCAAATGTGGCCAATAAATTCAGAATGATATCACTTAAAGCATTTAATAATGATAATTGCAAGTGACTCTTAACCAGAGAGGCAACTCATCACCAAGAGATGGAATGTTATACTAAAGTTTTACATAAAACCAAGAGAAATGAATGGAATAACTGAATGATGGTTTCATGAACACCTTTTATGAACACCATTTAAACTCTAATATGAACTCCTATAAAAAAACAACTTTGAAAAACAATTCAAATCTACAAGAACAACTTTCATGAACACATTTATGAACATCATTTAATATCTCACATTGACACAAACAACAACTTTTATGAACACATTTTAGGAACACAAATTAAGAATACCTTTTGTGAATGCCTTTTATGAAGATGGCTTAAACGTTTCTTTAATGAATACTTTTTAAGAAAATTATTAACAATATGGCAGCTATGACTATATCTATTTGAAGTGATACTATGAGAAAACCAATGAAAACCTTTTAGCATTCCGAGAAATTCCCGTTGAAACAATTTGATCGAAAGACCACGATTAGTGAATAATTTATTTATGGGATAATGGACCAGAACTAGGCCACCCTATCACCCATTACTGAGCCATCAGCAATA